TGGTCTTTGGGAGCGTTCACAAATTACGTAACGCTAATTTTTGAAAATTATGACCCCCCCTCCCCCCATGTAACACACTGTTACATACATTAGCGCCATTTTTTCTGCTGTACATAACAAATAGCTAGACCCCCCCCTCCCCTTTATAATGTTACGTAATTTGTGAACGCTCCCTTTCTTCTAGATTAAACAGTGTCAGGATTCTAATTCCGCTGCGATATGCAGGAAGACTCAAGATAGGAGTTTTCGCATTTGCTTGCATCACCCAAATTGGGTCTGATTCCAAAGAAACTAGTTCTACTACGATTTACAAAAAGATCACGATTAGGAGAATTCGCATTTGCTTAAACCACTCCTAATGGAATGTTTTACTATAGGAAACATTTCAGAGAAATTAATGCATCGCAGTTTGTGAAATAACCACGCATCTTTTCTAGACAAAGCAATTTCAGGACTCTAATTCTATTGCGATCTACAGGATGACTAAAGTTGGGAGTATTCGCATTTGCCTGGACCACACTTAGCAGATTCTCAAATTAGAGGAAGCATTTTACAGAAACTTATTATACTACTGTTTACGGAAAGACTACGATTAGGAGTTTCGCATTTATCTAAACAACTCCTAGTGGACTTTCTTACTAGAGGAGATATTTCAGATAAACTTATTTAATCGGGATTTGCCGAAAGACCACAAAAAAGAATTTTCAATTGTCTGGACCACCCTAATTGGTCGTCATTCTTTAGACAAAACAATTGCAGGAATCCAATTCTTCAACCATTTACTAAAAGACATCAATTAGGAGTACTCGCATTTGCCTGAATTATCTATCACGATTAGGAGTATTCGTATTAGCTTGGACCCCCTAATTTGAGTTTTTTTCCCCAAAGAAGCAATTGTAAAAATCAAATTCTACTGCCATCAACAAAAGACTCTCGCGATTAGGAGTATTCGTATTAACCTGGACCACCGTAATTGAGGTCAAAGAAGCCAAAAAGACCAAAGACCAGTTTTAGTCTAATATTCTCATTGTCTGGATAAACTAAGTGGATCTCTTTCTAAAAAAGAAGTTATTTTAGAAATCTAATTGTTCAGTATTTTGCAAAACAATTACGAGTGCTTTTCTTTGCCTGGACCACCCCAATTGTATCGTTTTTACAGACGAAGCAGTTTTAGGAATTTAATTCTTAACTCTCTGCTGATGCTAATGACCGTTATCATCAAAAATCGTCATTCTGGACGCCTGGTGGGGACTATGAGAGTTACATTCTTTGGCGATAGAGTGGGGATAAGTTAGCATCAGCAGAGGGTTTACTTAACTCGTGAGTACTCCTACTTGAATTTGCCTGGAACGCTTCTAGACGAATTTTTGGTTTAGAGGAAGCTTTCTGAAGAAACTTATTGTACTGTGGTTTATGGTAACACCACGATTAGCAGTGTCTCTAATTCTATCACTATCATCAGAAAAACTTAAATTAGGAGTACCACTACTGGGGTTTGGCAAAAGGAGACAGAAATTTTTTGTAATCATTAGGACTCGGCTGTCGATAAAACCGATTGTACGAAGGAGATTTAGTACAACCGGTTCTACTAATTGTAAGTCTCCTTAGTACAGTCGATTTTATCTACAACCGAGTTCTAATCGTTAGCGGATAATAATCGACAGAGCACATCATTATACCTCGACATCAAATTTCCTGCTTAATACATCTCGAAAGTAGCGAACTCTTATTGGTAAAAAAACTATCAGTTTTAGTACCTTTGCTGGTAGTGAATTAATATCAAAAGTCTCACAATAAGTGAGGTTCCGTCGAAAGACGCTGGATTCCAAAGCGTTGAGACAAATCGAATAATACACTTACTATTTCTTACTCAATAATTGGAATGACTACTAGAATAGGTTGCGCCAATGGAGAAGAAAGGAGAAGTGATGAGGTTGAAAGGATGTGTTAAGAAAATAAATAAAGATAGAACGTGGAGAGAGAGAGAGAAGAATAAGATGATTGTTGGGAGAGAAAGCATGGATCGAAAGAAGGAATGGAAGGGAGGTAAGAATGGGTAGGGAACGTGTGTAGGTGGATGGGGTCAAATGGTGCGTGAGACAAATGGACAAGTGTTTGAGGTTATAATGAATGATGGGGTGAATGGGGAGAAATGAAAACGACTGGTTTGATAGTAAGACTGTTGGGAATATGGTAGTGAAAGGTTTGGATGAAAATGTGAGAAGGAATATTTTGAGGATGACAGTTGAGGATAAGGATAAATGAAAAGAAGTTTTTAAGTAATTAAAGGGGTGGGCAAAAAGAAAAATTCTATTCAGTTACTGATCGATCATCATCCGCATTGGTCCTAAGGAATAGTTAGAGGTTTAGGCAACCATGGTGCCATTCATCCAAAACTTAAATGAATTCAAATCCGATAAAGATGTTAACATTGGAGTTTAGCGATCCTATTGCACCGGAATATATGCGATGTCACAATATCAGGTTTTCGCCTTCAGGATCCGTTAATGGAAAGTATTGTACTTAGAGTGAAGTTTCAAAGAAAGACCACAAAAAATCTCCTTTTGTATCCTATTCATTGACAAATGTTTTAAAAAATTATGTTTGGTCTAGGTTTAGACTTAGGTACTCAGTACAGATTTTAGTTCAGGAAGAGTACGATGGCAACAATACTAATTACAACCCATTGCAAGAATCTTGAAATAGTGGAAAACATTTCTAAACATTTACACGACATTCAAATGTTCCATTCAGTAATTTTCAATACCACTTTGTTTGTCCAATATCCTCTAAATTCGTCCACCCTTAAAACTCACAAAAATTGAAAATACAAAAAGTAATGTGTTTGTGCAACTTTTATAGCGGGTGTGGAAATACTTTACCTGTGCATGTTTCTTATCAGTTTGCTAAGACCATATTTCCACTCAATGTCAGACTGGGCCTGAATCCTTTGATAGGTGTCACTCATCATGGCAATAAGTAGATTAATAAGTACGACAACCGACACCAACATGTAAATACCAAAAGCCACCTTGAAGAGATTTGTCGTCCATGATGGCTGTTGATTCACGACCTTGAATTGTTCATGTGTCGTTTGTCCAAAGATGGCGAAGAATAATAGCTCAACCGCCACTACTGGATTCATCTTGACTGTAAATACGTGTCAACACCATTCTTTTTACTAACGTCATGCTAAAATTTATTGGAAATCGCACGCACGTATCATGCCAAAAAATATACATGTACATTTAGGATATTAATCGCTAAAATCTATTCGATTTGAGGAGAAAAAAAATGTATTAATAAAAAAAAATATTAAGGAACTTAACTTAATCTATTCTAAAATCGTTGTATTTACAGAGATTCTTGCCGTATTTTTTTTTTTAGGTATTTCTAGGGTTACTAATAAGATTTTGTCAGATATATTTGATAATTGTGGTCTCGACGAGAATTGACGAGATTGTTTTTGCACCCATGCAAACTGAACTAGATTTAGAGATTTTCAACTACCGCTCAAAAATTCATTATGACTTTAATATCTGACATAATTGTGGAATGAGGAATGATGCATGTGACGTCGTGGATGATTATAAGGCAATGAAAATTCCTGTAGCATGCTGAATCATGATGACATTTATTTTGGCATACAGACTTTTCTTGCGATTTTTGGATTTTTTGTTACTTACTTAGTTATTATTATTAGTGTCCGTTGAAACACGGGACGTTAAGCACCACCTTGCAAATATTTCGTTATTGAAATTAGTATAATTCTGTATTGAAATATTTTTCTTCGAAAGGCACAAAATTTCTTTTCTTTATTTTTATTTCTCTTAAAATTGACAATAATGTACAGCAACAAATTTCATATATATTTTTGGAATGTAATAATCAACAATTGTATAAAAGTTTATATTGGAGGTGTTGTCGCTGTAACAGGAACTGTTGATGCATTCGATGCGGTTGGTCCAATGTCCTCCTCATCATTATCATCATTTTCTTTTTCATTATTATCAACATCCTTCTCTGGCTCACTGCCAGTGAGGGCGAGATATTTCTTTCTAATCGAGTCCCAATCAACGACACTTTCAATTCTCGTTGCACTATTAAATGATAATTGACTACCTAACGGACTGAGATGAACTAAGGAAAGTGCAACACTATCTTTGGGACGAACTTGGCCTTTCTTCACTTTAGAGAGCCATTTGGCACCCATTTTCGAACGTGGTGACATTCTTCCTGTACGTTGTAGGCCCATCATGTGAACAAGTGATGGACGCTTTCGTTTGGCAGCTCGCTGTTTCCAGAGTTTGATGAAGTAGACGATCCATGTTGTCAGCAGATTCAGAGGCGAAGGAGCGGTGGTTGTTCTGAAATTTAATCTCGTGATAGTGCAACAGTGTTAAATTCTACTTCACCAAAGAAAGGGGACTTGCTTTCTTTTTGTTGCAATTGGACACATGCCTCATGCAAATTTTTTTTCAAAATTTGTCGGACAGAAAGAGCAGTGCAAAAATATGCAATTTTGTTTACATAAAAAAATATTTACATCTTCATTTTAATTTCAAATGAAAAATAGGAATTAGTGCTGTAAGGACAATTTGCTTTCTGATAGTGAAAGGAAAACTTTAATCAAGAAAAATTAATTTTCGGAAACGAATTCGTGTCATCGGAGGGGAAATTAATATAAATTGCTTACCTGTGCATATTTCTAATAAGTTTACTGAGACCGTACTTCCACTCAATGTCAGACTGGGCCTGAATCCTTTGATAGGTGTCGCTCATCATAGCAATAAGCAGATTAATTAACACCACTACTGAGACCAACATGTAAACACCAAAGGCCAATTTGAACAGACCCGAGGTCCATTCTGGTTGCTTGGACTCGACCTTCAGTTCGCTGTGGGTTGTTTGACCAAAGACGGCAAAGAAGAGATACTCGAACGCAAGTACAGGATTCATCTTTACTGGAATTCGAGGCAACGATTTTGTTTTCGGATAAAATTTTAGAAAAACATATTTGTGAAATTTGACTCTCTACGAAAGAACATGCTCATGCTACGTTTATGCCATGCTTTGGGCTGTTGAATACAAATTTTTTTTGATGCCGATGCAAGCCAAACAGAAGAACATTTTTGGTAGTTTTTTTTTTTTTGGTTACACATCGATGAGCGTGCGTCACACATTTTTTATTAAGTAGATATTTTTTTTCGTAGATTCGTGCAATGCAATCGTTGGCTATTCTCGACAGCAAAATTCAATGATAAAGTCTCAAAAAATATTTATAAAAAATTCGTGCTCATTCCGCGATAGGAAAAATCGTCGTTTTTTCCACTATAAGGCGTAAATCATCAAAATGCAACATTCAGCGCATCATTTCTTCAAGTACCACTTCCTTTTTTTGGGAATTTTTGTTTTCTATTGCTGAAAATTTCTTTTTGTTGTGTTTATCGTTCCTGTTGAAGTATTTTTTTATTGGTTTCTTTTTGGCAAAGTGGTGCATATCTTTCTTTTTTTCTGGTGTTATTGCATGCAATAGTAACAATCTTTCTCTCTCGCATTCTCTCGTTCCTTTTTTTGTCTGTATCTATTTCGCCAGACGTAACATTCCCTCTTTTCATTCCCTTTTTTTCTGATGCTTTTTTTTGTTTTTGCTTCAAAAACACTCAAAATATAAATTTCAAACACATGCAGAATTAGTTAAATCAAAAATCGACATTTGTTTCGATCGATTGATTCGGACTTACAAGAAACAAAAAAAAAACGCAGTGATCATCAATTGAAAAGAATAGTGCGCTTACAATCCGAAATGTTATGGGTATGATGTACATTATACATGTAATTTGAACCCTTTTTACTGGAAGAAGAAATGAACCGTTTGAAACAAATGAATTACTTTAGTATCATTTTATTATCTACACTATTAATTCAGCAAACCATTCTTTTTTTTTGATAATTAAGTAATTGATTTGCTAAAAATGAAATGATTTCTTATTCAGTTTTTGGAAGATGCGCTAAGAGGACATGATAGCGATGCGCTAATGTCGTACGAGCATTAAAGATGCACACACATTCCAAAAAAACGCAGGTCGTTTCTGCATTCGAGCGTTGAGCTGTGAACAATTTTTTTCTTTTCATTAAGAACACCTGGGAATTGAGAAAAATGCCGAATGAGTTAAAAATTATTCCTGTAAACGAAATTTATGGAAAGAAATAATTTTTCTCTTTTTGATTTTTGGTAAATTTTAAAAAGGAGAAAATTTTTTTTTGAAAATAAGGCAAAATATATAATATATGCAAAATGAAGAATGAGATGCGGGATAAATGTAAATCTTTTTTGTTTTATTTTCTTAATATTCAGGCAGTAATTTTTGTTTTTAGCTTCAGGCAAATAACAGACGCGCGAACATCGGTCAAAATGCATATTTTTAACAGACGATACGACATCGAGGGTGGAGCAAGTCCTGCATTCAGAGTGTCGATTAATCATCGTCAGCCTGTTAAACTTACAATCTCGGGAGCTTTCGTCACAACAATCATTCTTTTTCTTATAGCGTCCGGAGCGACGACTTAGTGACGAAGGTGGAGGCGTCATTATCCATGACGTTAAAACCTCGGTAACACCGGGCATCGTCAATTCTACCATTGAAATGAATGTTTTGTTACAAAATTTTATTTCTATAAATAAGAATTTTTAATTATTTTTTTTAAATCAGGTCTCTTCTATATAGGGAAATTCTAGTCTAAAAAAAACTTCTTCACCATGATGCATCAATTTCATATTACAGGTAAAAATCAATTTTGTCGAGAGGTCTGCGTGCGACGCGAAAGTCTTGATATTTTCAAGAATAGGCGCTGTATGTTTCTTTCGTTATTTGTGATTACACATAGAAAAAGAAAATATAGTAATAAATAGGCAGAGATAAATTTTAAGTGATAAATTTTTTTTCGGAAATTTCCTTTGAAGTTAAAGAAATTTAAATTATCACTGAGAATTTATTGTGCTTATTATTACTATAACTACTTGCTGTAATCAAACCAACATCATTAAAAAAAAAGAAAATGCTAACTACATTACTCTGAAATATTGAAGAGGTAAAAAAAATTACTAATTTTACAAAAAGCCACACGGTCTAATGTTACCTCTAACGAGAAGTAATCATTGGGAATCTAAAACACCATTATAGTAGATTCAGAGAAATAAATATGAGACTTACCATCTGAAAAGTTGTTTTTCCTTTTGCGATCTTCAGCCCTCGCCTGCTCCCAGGATTGATTCTCGAATGCTTGATTGAGAGCGACAAAATGCATGGAGAATCCAAAGACAAATATGGCCAAGACGGCCAAAAATCTTGCCAGGTCCTTCATGAGATTACCAATAATAATCGCCCATGGTCCAAAGAGATGGTGAAAAGAAAGGAAGTCCAGGATTTGTACGCAAGCGAGTAGAAAACTTAAGGCAAACAGCTGATTTCTAAGGTAGAGTAAAGTTGGCCAATAGGGTCGTTTAACAATAACAAAACCCAACAGATGAAAGGCGACGCCAAAAATTCCAAAAAGAAGTACTGCCAATTTTATCCAACCAAGACCACTTTTATCGCTGGGATTTGTCAACTCAAAGAGCAATAAACCAGAGAGCATTACCAATAGGCAACATTCGTACCAATACGGTATGAGGGCCTCCCGAACAACCGGATAAATTGGTGTAATACCCACTAACAATAAAAATACCATTAAATAAATGTGTGATGTCAAATACGACATGAATTTGATAATCGGCACATTATTGTACTTGTGGCCCAGTGGTAGAGCAAAAACCACCCAAACTGGTGGACAAACGAGGAATGCAATAAAGAGTAAAATTGTCCGAAATGCATTCCAATTGAGACTACCCTGCCACAATTCTTGAAGATAACGTTGCACTACCGTGTGTGCAATCACCTCCTTCTGTTCATTCTCAATCAGAACGTCTAGAAACTCCACATTTCTTCGATCCATTGACGTTAGAATTCTCCCAGCCGAATCGGCACCAGCTGCCAGTGCTAATAATTCAGTGGCCATTGTTTCACACTGCTTACCAGCAGCAATTAAATCTTTTGCTCTCTCCTTCTCCTTTTCCGATAGTTTCATATAGATGTTGGACAATTTCGCTGCTGTGTCCACCGGTGCTGGCGAAACGAGAACGAACTCCTCAATTGGCTTGTTATTATGACTCTTGCTGCAGATCATCATATTGTAGACAAACTGAAAATAAAAGATAATTGATAATTATTCCACCTACCTGAAAAGAAATGCCTTTTCGCATCTCTCCTCTTTCCATCTTTACTTACTCTCTTGTCCTCCATAAGAGCGTAGGTGTCATGCTCCTTCTCCATCAGATATTTGAGAACATCATTATGACCTTCGGATGCTGCAAACCAAATGGGCGCACTACCGAGATTCGTTTCACTTTTAGGTGAAGCTCCACTTTCGACCAGGAGTTTTACAACGTCGAGATAACCAGCTCTCGCTGCACAATGCAACGGTGTCCATCCATTTTTATCCGTGGCGTTAATCTCTGCCCCCTGACCTAAAAGAACCTCAACCATCTGATAGTGGCCATGGGTCGCCGCAATATGAAGTCCCGTCTTTCCGTAACGATCAGCACTGTGCAATAGTTCCGCTGATCTACTCAGAAGCAGACCAACCACAGTGATGTGTCCTCCAAAGCATGCGAGATGCAGAGGATTAAAACCATTTTCAACAGTCGACGCATCCACCTGTTGCAACAATAAATCCTCTGGAGAGTGAATTTGTGCTCCAATTTTTAAAAATTAATCAAAGGCAAATAAAGAAAGAATCTGGTACCTGAACTCCTGCTGAATTTAAAAGCAGTCGTACGACATTTTCATTTCCGGAATATGCAGCAAGATGAAGGGGAGTCATTCCCGATTCACTGCCTAGCTCCCCGACCAATGATCCTCCAGTCGGGGGATCAGATTTTACAGTTCCAGGAACGTGGGTCAGTAACTCTCTGACCGTATCTGAAAGAAAATCAATTTGATGGAAAGCGTCAGATTTTGCTTGACGTTAAGCAGAACAAAAATTGTCTGACAAAAATTGTATTTTGAACGCCTGACCACTGATAGGTGTGCATTTTAAGAAGATCACCTGTCTGTGGAGAGTTGCACTGAAGCAGCCTGAGTAAATACCCAGTGACTCGAAATTCAAAACGCTTATAAGTCGATAACAATATTAAAGGGAAATCTCTCTGCTTCAATATAATTCCCAGACCATTGCATAGTTATCATAAATTTCTACTTTGTATCACAATTAATTAATGTTGTTAATTTGAACCTGATTGTCAACTGAAGGTTAAGCATTAGACTTCTCAAGTGTTTGATAGTTATTTAATTGTTATAATATCTCAAATATTTGATGGTAATTTAAGCGCCAGTTTCACCAATACCGATTAAAAGTTAAATTATCAAATCCTTAACCGATCTTATGAGCAATAAATTGACATTAATCATTGATTAACTTTTAATCAGAGTTGGTGAATCTGGCCCTAATTCTTATAATCTTCGACAATCTACTCCAGCACTCACATAACAATAAATTCAGGAAAGAAAAAAATTTTCTGAACAGGAAAGAAAATGTATTTTGAAGACTCATAGCGAAAATTAAATTCGACAACTCGGCAATTTAGATTCTAGATAGTAAATCCCTAAAGTATTAGAACTCCAATTATTATTCTCTCTTTCTTTTTAATTTCCCAAATATCTAATATTCAACTATTCAAAGCTGAGCATGTTCTAATAAAATGGAAATAACGGAAATGAAGAAAAAAATGGAATTAACGTTCCAATCTGTAAAATCTTACCATATAGAAAGAAGATAATTTAATCTCCTTTAAAGAAGTAGGGAAATGTTTTACAAAAAAATGTAATACTCATTTCTTATTTCTCCAAATGGTTAACGACTTTCAGTAATGTGTAAAGTTTATTTCTTTTAACAATGGAATTGAATGATGAAGAAAAATAAAAAATGACGTCTTTTATTATTCGAGTATAGTTATTACGACAGTATTCCACGTGGTTTATATCAGGATATTACAATCTATAACTTTAAATGTGCGCATGAGCAATTTAGTTTTCAATAAAGATTGCAGATTTCTCGGACCCTGTGCGACGGAGAAACTTGTATTATTTTTTTTTGTTCGTTTCTATCGTGCAAATTATGTGAGACCTTGACGCAAGGTCTACTAATCTTTGAATACAATCGTTTTCACCCGGCTTTGTCACGACACTTTCAAATTGTTTCGACTACTTTACAAAATCTTTGCCTAAAAGTTTTGTCAATGATTTATTTTCATTGCCGCAATCACGATTTGAAATCGCATTCTTTTTTTCTCCATCACCATCACTATTGCCACATATCTATACTGTCGCATTTTGACGTATTTTTAATAACTAATTAAAAACTAATTAACTATAATTTTTAATAACTAATTAATAATTAATAATAATATCTAATGTCAACGAATAGTCAGTAATAATAAATGTTAATTAAGTTGAATTGTATAAAAAAACGAATATTGTAACATAGAACAGGATCTCTAGACGATTTAATGAATTCAGAAAGATGACTCAAACAGATGGTCCCACAACAATGATTTTTAACTTTAACATGTCTCAACGCACAATTTTCGTCAAATATTTTCGTATATAAAGGGCAAACGAGTATAATTCAGTCAGTATCAGTTTCAGTATAATTCAGTTTAGAAACTCTACCTCGTCTTCACCAGAACTTTAAAAGGCATAATTAGTGCAAAAGTCAGTTTCTTCAAAAACATCATATCACCAGTGTATCCACAGTGAAAAATCAGTCTTTTCTTAAAAATTATAAACTGTTCATAGACCTTATAATAGAATCAATTATTTATGAGTTAAAGGCTTAAAGTATCAACCAATGATTCTCTGCTGCTCAAAGGACCCATCCACAAACAATAAGACAAGAAGTTATTGACTCCGCTGAAAGGACGTCGAGCCAACCCTTCAGTGCTAAAAGAAAAGCACGTGCCAGAGTCTAGAGGTAAAGATAGAAACCATTCAACACTAAAGTCATCTTCTCTTTGAACATTAGAAAGCCTAGAGTTTCCATATTTTATTATTATTTTTAAACTAATAAATTTGAGTAAAGTAATTCTTGTTTTATTCACTAACCACGTCCCAACATTAATTGTTAATTTGCTTAAATTAAATCGGGGATAGTAGGTTAAATAAAGTGTGGTACTTTAGACGTAACAATACAATTAAAAGTGAAATTTAAAAAACAACCTGTAGGGAAAACGATTTTTTTACAGAAACATTTTCTTCGATTTCTCTTAATGCAAATAAGGTAATTTTTTAAAGATAAGAACGTTAATTTTGTCATAATGGTTGCGGTGTTGAAAATTTGGATATAGATACTAGAGAAAGATAACTTTTCTACTACTTAAGTGTTTTTTCTTTTTTCTTTAAACCAATATTTAAAATCGAACCTCTAACGATATGTTTCTAATAATAGAGGCATTTTCCCGTCTAACTGCCATCAATTTTAATTTCAAAGTTCATTTAACGGGTTAAAGTTCAATCAACCAAATGCTTTTTCAATTTAATACACTTGTAATTAAGAAGGATAAAGTTCAGTTAAAATTAGAGTTAAAAGTTTTTGGTTATTTTGGCAAACTTTTGGCACTAATCCCAAAAAAAAGACTCATCTCCCTTAAAAATGTCATAAATAGTAGTCATCATGTAAACCTGAAAGCAACTCTCTCAATGAATTAATATTCTACTTTCTTGCCAGGGAAAATGATTGATAAATATGTATACCATCATACAAGCGGCTAAATGAAATTGCGTGCTGCGTTTTTCTTATTAGAAAATCAAAGTCAACTCGAAAGGTGTCAGGAAGGGTTTGCCCGCTATTCAGTCACGCGAAATCCACTTAATCTACAAAAGATTGTATATAGACAATCACTCTTTAGTAAAAAAAGTGATTTTTATGTCATCAATCTTGAAAAACAATGAAGAATTAATCAAAAATTAATCAAAGACCAATCAACAGTCAATAAAAATTTAATCAAGACTTAATCATGAATCAATAAAAAATCGTATTTTATTAGTAGAAATAAATTCTTCAAAATTATGCTGAATTGTAAATTTTTTTTTTCCGAAGCTTTCTTATCTTGATCCTTCTTCTATATTCTCAAACTAAAAATATATTTGTTAACTTTTAACACTGAATTTAAATAAATTTCAACTTTGTTTTTGTATTTTAGGCCAGAGTTGAAAAACTTTCTTTTTTTAAAGGAAAAATATCTATCTATCTAATTATGCCCTTAATGGTTAAATTTTATGATCTTCGACAAGGTAACAAAATTGTTGCTCTATTTTTGTAATGACGGTCAATAGGTCAAGATCATTCTTGCCCTTAAGTACATCAGTGTAATCTTGCATTTGAAATCTACTTTCAAGATTTAGACATACGGAATTCATATATATCATAAAATTTTTATATCTCCGTATATAATAAAAAGATTTTGTCGCCGGATTCAGTCTTCACTCCCTAAAAAACCGTTAAATTAGTTCAAAAGTTAGGTAAAAATTGACCTAATTTTTTACCTACTTAAAGGAAGCCCCGTAATGACAATTACATTACGTCAAAATTTAGGTCAATTTTGACCTATATTTAAACCTACAGGTCAAATGAAGGCCCCAAATTGATGTATAGAGCTAAAAAATGTAAAAATCTTCCAATTAATTTTTACAATTCGAAAAGATAGTAAAAATTTTTTTTTGTTTATAATTTCTATGTTTTCATTTTAGGAAAGGAATATAAGTCAACGTATTCCTTGGAAAAAGGGAGATGGCCTAGATTATTACCCTTTTCGTGCATTTACTGCCTAAGGTGGATTGTGTGACCGAAAGAAATTTGCAATTCAACGGGAGTAAGATACCTAGCCTAAGAAAAGCTGCGCGATAATAATTTTTATGGTCTCAGCAGTACTGATTATTCCTGGAAGTAAATGTGTGTATATATAGAGAGAGAACTTAAAATTGTACGAGTTGAAATATAATTTGAATTTTATCCAAATGTAAATCCCCATTTGTTGTATCTTTTTCTTTATCAGTCATTATTTGTCATAATGGGTGGAAAGCCTTTCCTTAAGTGAACGATAATTATCAAATTATGAATGTAGGTTAGTGAATATGAAATAATAAAAGTTGTTTCGCATCTGTCTGGAAAGTGGTTTTTTTTTCTTTTTTTACATTTTATACTTTTATTTCCTTTTGGTATCTTTAATCTATTCGGATGATTGAATTGTCGTTTTTAGTAGTTTTAGATAATTCAACTAAATTTGGCAAGTGTACTAACTAAAACACTTTATTCCAAATAATAAGTACAGTTTATTTTACTTTTGAATTAAATACTTCTGCAACCAACTTATAGTTTATTTAGCAAATTATAATACGTTATCCAGATTTAAGGCTTGGACTTTTATGAACGATATTAATGGGCACAATAATTGGATCGATACATTTACTTACAGTTCGAAGTCATATATTCCTACCGCACTGAAGGAAGAGAGAAAAGTCAATTTAGTCAATTACCCTTCCTATCACAACGGACCAATTGAAAGTGCAGAATAGACTATAATAAGTCAATCATTTCTGACGAAATTGAGAATTCTTCAATGCTACTGGACTCTATTGCAATGCAACGAAACTTAGCTCATCATTTTAGTTACTAAGTGTGTGTAATTGTGGTGAATCTTGAGAGTGAATAGGAATAGTTAGGGAAAGCTTTTGTTTGTTTGGAAAACATCTGCAAGTAGGACAAAAGAAAACAGCAGTGGCATGAAAAAAATGGATGTGAAAATTTTAGTGTTACAAACTCACCTGCTTGACCAAAATAGGCAGCAACGTGAAGAGCTGTGACCCCAAGTTTCTTGCTTGAGATTCTCAACGATTGGGAGGACCGCATAACTTCTAAAACTTGTCCATGTCCATGCTGAGCAGCAAGATGAACGGCCGTAAATCCAGCTCTGTTCTCATCAGCGCAAGAAGCACCGGCTCTCACTAAAGCCTTGACAACTTCGGCATGACCACCTTCAGCTGCTAATTGCAGTGGTGTCGCCTCTGTTAATTTATTCCTAGCCGATATAACTCCCTGTCTATCGAATTTCATCAATTCCTCAATTACCCGAACACTTCCTTGCATTGCCGCAATATGTGCACACGTATTACCATCCTTGGTACATGCCATCACCAAACTCGGATGCCTCTGCAGAAAGAGTTGAGCAACTTCAGCGTAGTTGTTCATCGCAGCTGCATGTATTGGCTTCTGGCCCTGGTCATCGGTTGCGTCTATGCTGGCGCCCAATTCAAGCAACAGCTTGCACACCTCCAACTGACCAGCTCCAGCCGCCAAATGAAGAGGAGTCTGTTTTTTGAGTGTTAGCACGTCTATTGCCGCTGCGTGATCTTGTACCAAAAAACGGACCAAATGAGTATAACCATTCATCGCAGCAAGATGAAGAGCAGTTCTTCCAACTCGTGATTTTGAATTGATGAAAGCTTTATTCGCCAAAAGAGCATCGCAGACTTGAAGATAGCCATGTTCGGACGCTAAATGAAGAGCCGATCTACCCTCCAGATCGAAGACATCAACCCTCGCGTGATTAGCCAGAAGATTTGTGACCAATTCCATGTGTCCTCGATGCGCTGCAATTAGTAACGGCGTCCATCCAACCGCATTTTGTCTATTCAAAGCCTTTTGGACCTCCGTTGCTGACATATTGCTAATCATTTCCGACAGTACTTCGTTATTTCCCGCCACGGCACAGTGATGGAATGCCGATTCCTGAGCTAACTTTGTCTGTAGAGACACATCCGCATTACCTTCCAAAAGTGCTCTAATAACCGCTCTGTCATCACCAGGAGTTCCCACATCCGGCGGTTCTATTTGAGCCGCATAATGCAGAGCGCTTGCTCCTTCATTCGTTACACTATTCACGTAAGCTGTCGACAACTCCTGTCCCTTCTTCTCTTTCACGAATTCAATCAAATGCCTAACAACGTCCGCTCTGCATCCTCTGCACGCCAAATGTAACGGCGTTTCTCCACTCTGAAAAGTCAAACAATTTACACCGAAGCTACCAAAATGTTTCACTAAAACATTTGGTTTTATCAAAACATTTGAGTTCATCAAAACATTTTGGTGCAATTTGATAAAAAATTAAGAAACATACTTTCGATTTGAACATGGGATCGCCACCGTCATCCAGGAGGAGTTTGAGTGTAGCCAAATTTCCATGGCTGGCTGCAACATGTACCGGTGTTTGTCCATCGTCTGTTATCAAATTTGGACCGGCACCAGATTTGAGCAACATTAAAGCACACCTGTCGCCATCAGGGACTCTGGCAGCTATGTGAAGTGGCGTCTCACGAAGCTTTCCACCTCTGACGTGCACCTCTGCACCGTAACCCAAGAGAGTCTCGACAACGGCAGGTTTTGCGCTTTCCACAGCGATGTGCAATGCAGTGTAATTATCATTTGTAGTCGCATCCACCTAATGTCAGTGTCACTTTTAGACTATTTCTAGTTTTTAAAATTTGCTTTGCACTACGAAAGTATTTCTGTACTCCGACTACCAGGGACTAGCAGTAGCTAAAATTTATTTGTATATCGCAAAAAAGACTTCGAATCATCAAAGTTACATATGTGACGCTTCATGGTGAAGGGGATCTAACGCAACAAAAAACCTAATGGCGGGTCTAATGTTTATGTCGTCTTAGATCCCTTTCATCGTAAAGGGTCACATATAGTGCCAGACCTCAGATAGTCCCCAGTAGTGCTAAGGTATAGTAACTCTTATAGTAGCGTTAACACCAGTTGCAACAAACCTTTTCTCCACGTTGAAGTAAAGTACTGATAATTCCCACATGTCCGTATTTAGCAGCAGTGTGAATTGACCTGGCGCCTCGTTTATTCGGCATGTGAAGGTAGACACCCTTTTTGAACAACATGGTGGCACATTCGGAATGACCATTCAATGATGCAATGTGCATCAAGGTAGAACCGTCCTTGGTCCTCTCGAAAATACTCGCCTTAAATTTATCAGCGAGCAATTCGATAATTGAAGCATGACCGTTTTCAGCAGCCAAGTGCATTGGTGTACGATCCTGATGATCGGTTATCGCAGCGGAAGCCCTAACACCATAGAAATATTTTACCAGTGTCTCATCACCTTCGGCACTTGCAATGTGAAGGGCCGTTTGACCTTCTCCCTGGAACGAAAGAAACCTCCCTTGTCTTCATTGCTGATCATCATTTATTTATTTAAAGTTAAATTCCTAGGATTGCTATAGCCCACCAAGTTTAGTGGGCTAGCTTAATTAAAATCCAAGATTTAAGAAATTGTACTGAATAGACTCCAAGATCAGAATCAAATTAAATGACTAATTTGTAACAGACGCAAATAATAATTATACTGATTACAAACCAAGGCGATTATTTTCACTTATAAATTCACTCTCAAATGTTTCTATCAGAGATGCTTTTAACAAATTTCTTGGTAAATTCTTTTCTGGTTATTCTTGGTAAATAAAGTCCTAAATGTTTCAATCAGTATTACTCTCGCGAAAGCTTTAGAGAAACTGCGGACATATTCAGCTCTTTAAATTTTGATACATAAATTTAAACCGTACGTGGTGTTTAGTCGCCACTAATACTATAATTACAGAAAAATGTAATTATGGTGAAAGTGTGCACTGGAATTTACATAGTAGCCTTTAGTTTCGAAAGTGTGGAATAATTTAATAGAACTATTCATTACCGACATTTGGTTTATAATCTTGTTGATCTGGGTACATAAAAATCTTATCATGATGGTTTATTTTCGCATAAAAAATTTTGTCCCCTATGAAGACTGTAACCATAACATCTAAACTTGTTGCTACATTAACAAAATTGTTGTAAGTTTCTTAATATTGAGATAATGTTGTATTGCTGCAATATGGCCACAACATCTAAACCTGTAGCAGCATTAATAACATTGCTACAAGTTTCACAATATTAAGATAATGTTGTCAATGTTGCTGCAAGTTTAGATGCTGGAGTTCAGTTTGCATTCATCACTTCTAGGATTAGAATTCCTGATGTTGCATATAAATATGTACAATTTTTATCTACTGCATCCTTTTATGTAGTTCTTTCAGGTTTACAAATTTTGCTTTTAAGTATTTTTATGTTAACATTTATTTTAGTGTTAACTACTTACATTCTGCATGTCCACAGTGGCACCATAGTCGACAAGAATTCGCACCATATCGACGTCTCTTCTTCTAGCTGCTAAATGTAGTGCGGAATCACCAGCGGGTGTTGTGGCGCGAAGTTGGTCTGATGCCTGTTGGGCTAAAAGTTCTCGACACATGGATTGATTACCAGCTTCAACTGCCAGAAGAAGAGGAATCTTGCCACGCTACAAGTAGAATTTTTCAGAAAAAAAATATTAATATCTTTCTTTGAATCAAGAAAGGAGAATTTAGAATTCCATTTTTAAATCCCTAATTTTCAAGTTGTGCAAATCCGTGTCAAAGGATGATTCCGTGACACAAGATAGTAAACACAACATATGCATTACATTGATTTTATTTATGTTCCACCTAAAGAAACCAATTCCAAAAGATTGTGAATAAAAATAAAACTCGAAATTGTAGTTAACAAAGTTTTATACGATCATTCGATAAGATATAAAAATAATTCCAGAAACGAATAAGAACTAACAATAAGTGCTGCTAGTTTAGAACCTACAGTAACAATTAACACAAATTTTCTAAACTAATTTGTAAATTATGAACATTAAAGATTATAGAAAAATAGTTTAAAACCTACTCGAGCATCATCAACAGTTTTGAAAGCTTTTCTCCAAACGTTGGCAACACCTGCCAAAAGTTTATTCTTGTGTATAAAGTCAATAACATGCACATCTGGAATACTATTATCAACTTCCTCTGACAATTTTCTAATGGGCATGACTTCATATCTAACCAATAGTAATGGCTAATTTTTCCAAGTGAACATTTTTCTTTTTTAAGCGCAAAAAACAAAAATGATGAAGACAGTTGAAGAACTCGCGAAAGACTAAAAATATGCGCAAGTGTTAGCATCAGCTTCACGATGGGAACTAACACATCGCAAAGAAAATGCATTTGTCGGTCGAAGGGCATAGCTCGATTACAGATTGTTCTAATGGGACGTATTCATATCTTCTCGTGTTTCTTGGCACTCTCTTCGGCAGTCAATACAAACGAGCGCAGGGAATATAAGTTCAACCTGGCGTAAAGGCATCAGAAAAAAAAGGAAAGAAAGAAAAGAATAGAAAAAAGCAAAAAAAAAAAAAAAACCAGAGAACAAATTGTAGAAAATAGTTGAACAGACCGATGTCGATGAATAAAATTGTAAGAGAAAGAGAGACAGGAGAAGAATTATATGGTGAACTCGGTGCCAGGCTGTGATACCTAGCTAACTTCTGTCACGCGAACTATATTTCTGCAGCTAGACATTCAAAACCGGAGCCATCATTGAAAAATCTTTATCTGCTAATTCAAAACTTGTACCTCCCTGACGAAAATTTTCTTTATCACAACAAAAATTAAATCATCTTTTAATATTCGTACAATGACTGTATAATTAGTAGTAGGAAAGTAGTATAGTTACTATAGTAGAAAAGAATAAATAGTTGAAAAAAGATAAATCTGGAATTCGAAAAATACTTACGCCGTCGACTTTAAGTCTTATATCTCGTCCTGCAGCTCCTAATAAAGCTCTAAGTATCGAAGTTGCAGTTCCCGTTTGTCTCGAAGCTACAAGATGTACAGCCGTTTGATGTCTTGGCTAAAATATCAAATGTTTTTTTTAAATAAAAAAAGAAAAGGATATTTTTACATTCATTCAAATTTATTCATACATTTAATTACTACTACCAGAAAAATATTCGATTGTTTCTAAAAATAATCGAATAATCAATTGAGTAAAATTTTACTTACACCGCCAGTTACGTAAGGATCGACACCCTTTTTCGATAAAAGTAACTTGACGACATCTTCTCTTGAATACATAGCCGCAATGTGAAGTGCATTATAATTATCCTGTTGGCAAAATAGAAGAAAAATAATTTTAAGGAAGATTCTAATTTTTTATTCTTCTAAAATATGATATATTTATTTATTCTTTTTGCTTCTTTGTGGAGAAAGATTTGTAGTCCTTTAATTTATAAAATTTTTAAAAATAGGTTTCTAATCACAAAGCCGAAAAAATTGTATTTTTAATCAACATTTTGTTACTGTACAATAAAATCTTATTCCTTATATATGAAGACGATTAAAAAATCTTATTCTTTACATCAGGAAGAATCGATTGTTGTATATATAAGTATTTATATAGTTTATTAGTAATTAATAGAATTAATCATAATTAAAGTTGAAAAATTCACTTTTTGACTACAATTTTTGTTCATTATCCAGAATTAAGTTACTACATAATAAGAACTTATTCATCGCATCAAGAATTAATTAATTATAATAATTTGAATTTTCTTTCATTCATTTATTCACTTTTTCTGTCCCTCACACTCTGAAGTTGTCTTTTGTTTACACTTTTGTTTTTTGTAATCTTTAGATAGATTGTATATTATATTATTACTAGCAAATGTTACGCACGGAACATGATAATTAATTTATTATTGTTATGCTTATAAAAATTTTTTATTTTCAAATATAAATTTTTAAAATAATTTCATAATCAAAATTTAAAAAATTCACTTATTAAATACAAAATTAATTATTACCGTTCATATTTTCAAAATTTTTTTTTTTAATTTGACGAAAAAATTCAATTATTTTCTAAAATTTTAATAAATTCTTCGAAACAATTCAACTATTTTTATAAATAGTAAAATTCCTTTGCAAGAATTCAATTATTTTTAATTCACTTTTAATAAAATTCTTCTTCATAAAATTCAATTGCTTTTAAAATTTTTAATTAAAATTACACAGCCACACAAAAAAAAAAAAGTTCTGATCTGGGGGTCTCACTATGTAGACTTTATGTTTTTTGGGTCGCTGAATCCGAATCCGAGGTCCATTTAACCCCATCAGATCAGGATTTTGACATAACCTCAAAAAACCAATATGGCGGACACATTTTTGAAAAGTTCATCGGATTCGCTTGAAATTCGTTACTCGGGGGTTTTTGGGGTCGCTGATTACGAATTTGAAGTCTGATTTCAAAAATTCAAAATGGCGGATCCAATATGGCGGACAAGTTTTTGAAAAATTCATCGGATTCGCTTGAAATTCGTTACTCTGGGGTTTTTGGGGTCGCTGATTATAAAAATGATGTCGGTTTTTCAAAATTCAAATTTTTTTTTTTTTCAAAATTTTTTCAAATTCAAAATTTTGAAAAACCGACATCAATTTCGTAATCAGCGACCCCAAAAACCCCAGAGTAACGAATTTCAAGCGAATCCGATGAACTTTTCAAAAATGTGTCCGCCATATTGGTTTTTTGAGGTTATGTCAAAATCCTGATCTGATGGGGTTAAATGGACCTCGGATTCGGATTCAGCGACCCAAAAAACATAAAGTCTACATAGTGAGACCCCCAGATCAGAACTTTTTTTTTTTTTTTTGTGGCTGTGTTATTAAAGAAACTCCATTAGTTTAAAAATAATTCAAAGAAATTCTTCAAAAGAATTTAATAAGAATTATTAAAAATTTTAATAAAATTCTTTGCGAGAATTCAGTTATTTTCCTAAATAATAAAATTCTTTGAAGGAATTTTATTATCATCAAATTTCTTGATAAAATTCTTTGCAACAATTCGATGATTTTCATTACATTAATTTTAAAATTGAAAATATTTGAAATGAAAAATTTTAAAAAAGTTAAGAAACAAAAAGCAAACAACATCTAACTTTAAACTGCGAATTAATTAATTAATTAATTAATTAATTAATGTTATCATTATTTTTATTTTATAATTAATTCAAAATTGTAATGACAAATAGAAATCATCAAAAATTTTTTCACTTCTTTTCATTAAAAGACTAAAATTTTGTTAAATATTATGTTTTGTCAAATTGAAATTATGCATAGATTTTTGTTCTTTACTTCTAAGCAAAATTAGAAAATTGTTAAACAACTGTAATTAAGAAATAAAAAATTTATTTATTTTGCATTATTTTTGTTTATGAATCACAATTTTTTAAACAAAATTATTATTTTGCTTTAGAAAAGAAAGAAAAATATATTGTTACTGTATCTTCATCAAAATTATTTTCATCATTTTAATTCAATTATTATTATTATAACTGTTCATTTATTTATTTGAAATTGCATTATTGTTTTAGAATTATGTTACCAAACATTTTTTAAAGACATTTTCCATAAGGTATCATTTTTAAATGTTATAAACAAATTAAATTAACAAATCAACTGTTCAAATATACATTCCAATCAGATTAAAGACAAAACACAAATAACAATTCTATAAATACTGTAAATAAATAAAGCAATATGATAATAATTTCTGAAAATAACTAACATTATATTCACAAATAAAATTTTCCCTACCAATATTTATGATTAAATTGTATTGACTAAATAAAAACCTTTCCCAAAATTAAAATGTATAAAAGAAATTTTTCCAACTATAAATACATCAACAACTGCTTTTTAAGTTAATTTGTTTACAACATTAGCAAATAATACAAAACGAAATATATTGATTAGAAATGTTATTGGTAAGTAATAGTAAAAGGATTGGAGAAAAAACGATATAATTTCGACTTTAAATAAATGAACAGTTATTTTGTAAATTTAATTAGTTTATAACATTAAAAAATGATACCTTATGAAAAACAACCATAACAAATGTAATTCCAACAGAAATTGTTAAATTATTAGAAAAATAACTATGCCATTTCAACTATAATAAACAAAAGAACAAAATTTAACAATGTTTATAACATTAAAAAATAATACTGTATGAAAAATATCAATAAAAAATTCTATTAGTAACATAATTCTAAAACGATTAGAATTATTAATTATAAATAAAAGAATAGTTCATTTGTTGATTTCATTTGTTTATAACATTAAAAAACGATACTTTATGAAAAATACCCCAACAAAATGTTATTGCTAACATAATTCTAAAACAATTAAAAAAACCATAGGCGTTCTATTTATTTTTTAACTTAATTGAAATTAAAAGTTGTTTAATATTATTTAACAAGTTGTCTTTTTGTAAAAATATTGTTTTTTAATATTTTATATAGTAATACTTATTAGGTTGAAGCGATATTGAGCATAATCAACATTTTTATCATCATCTATTTGGTTATTTGCATTAAAATAAAAATAATAAAAAATCAATATTTAAAATGTGCTTCCTTCAGTTTTTTAAAAATTTATTTTTGAGTGTTTCTAAAAAAATTCTTGAGGTTTAGTCGAAATCTGTGGAATCAATGAGATTCTCTCTCACTTTCAATATTTCTAGTCTAAGCGACAGAGCGCTGGAGTGGGGGCAATGAGAGTGAGAATGACAAATGAAAGTTTCTTTCTCACTCTCATTATTCCCATCCGTTCCTTTCGAATTGATTGAAATTAAATGCCAAATACCCTTTAATTTCAGTAATTTAATTATAGTGAGTGTAGTAATTATACAATAACTGTTGTTATTATATTTATATAATATTAATAATCAATAATTTTGAATTATAATTATTATTAATTATTTTCTTTTATTAGTTAATGGTCACGGACTGTTATCCTACTAAACAGAAAAAAAGTCTTGAGTATCATCAAATCATCTAATTTTAATAATTGTTATTATAAGTAATATTTAATATTTAGTAGATAAAAAATGTTGAATATATTATTTATTTTTGTTTTTATTTTTAGAAAAAATCGATGAAAAATAAATAAATAAAAAAATCCCAGTTGAAATAGGGAAATTGGATAATTAAATTTGATGGGGTTTTTTTTGCAAAAAAAAAAAAAATATATTCGGAAAAACCTTGAATAAGTTGATTTTTAATCATTTGAATGATGAATTTCATCAACAAAGAGAAATACGATGCACGGACTGGTAATCAAGTAATAAGGTCGTGCATTTTGCCGCACCCGTCATTAACCGAAAGAACTTAACTCTGGCTTATGGTCGTTTCAATCACGGTCCATTAGCATGCAATTTGAAAATCACATTGAAATTTCTTTATAATCTATATAGGAAGCGATATTTTTGTAATTAAGCAAACAATTTTGAATTGAAATGTATTGAAAAAATTATTTTAAAAAAAGAATTATTTTCGTAAAAAATTGTTAAAACAGTTATTTAGTATGGCAAGAGAGAAAAGAAAAACAATTTTATTGATATAGTATAAAGAATTATATAGTATAAAGATTATCAGTTTTTGTAAATATAAAAACTACATATTTAAGTTGTTTATTGATTTATTTTTATTCATGTTCTCCTGACGCTAAGCAACCATTACATTTTAATACAATTTTTATATTTATAATCTTAAAAATACAAATTTATTTTCTATTCTAATAAAAGGTGAAATTTAAGATTTTTATTGTATGAGAAGATATTTGGTTTGATTTATTTCTCATTCACATGATTGTCACTAAATCACAAGAAATCATCGTTAGATTTTTAAAAAATCGTTAAAAATTACACATGAAATAAAAAAAATTTTTAAATCAGCAGATTTTTATGTTATGTTATGTTATGTTATGTTATGTTATGTTATGTTATGTTATGTTATGTTATGTTATGTTATGTTATGTTATGTTATGTTATGTTATGTTATGTTATGTTATGTTATGTTATGTTATGTTATGTTATGTTATGTTATGTTATGTTATGTTATGTTATGTTATGTTATGTTATGTTATGTTATGTTATGTTATGTTATGTTATGTTATGTTATGTTATGTTATGTTATGTTATGGTATGTTATGTTATGTTATGTTATAATACATCTTGAAATTGAATTGTGTTCAAGATTAGTATAATGAAGATTTTTACAAGTTTGGAATAAACGTTCATTAACGTTTACTAGTTGATTGTAACTCAAATCAAGTTTCTGTAAATAATTTAATTTTCTAAATATATATTCTGGAAGTTGATTCAAGCAATTGTTGCTTAAGTTCAAAGCGATTAGGCTCTCCAAGTCAATGAATAAATATACCGGCAATGTTGTCAGATTATTACTATCAAGTCGAAGTTCCTTTAAGTTACGTAAATTTCCAAATAAATAGGTTGGTAGGCTTTCTAATCTATTATTACTTAAAGTTAAAAAACTTAAGACTTTGCAATTTTGGAAAAAAAATCCACTAACTGCTTTTATTCGATTATTAGCAAGTCTTATTTCTTTTAAATGTATTGAGTCAGCAAGTAAATCTCGTGGCAGTTCCGTTAAAATATTATCACTTAAATCCACAATTTTCAAAAGATGCAAACCAACAAATAAATTCTCAGGTATTTTACTTAATTTATTACTCTGTAGTTGAATAATTTTCAAATTCTTTCCATTTCTGAACAAATCTTGGGAAATTTGTTCTAATTTATTATTATATAAATATATTTCCTCTACATGAGTTGATAATCCCAGAATATTTCCTTCCTCTGAAAGATTTGTCATCTGATTATTACTCAAGTCTATTATTCCCAATTTCTTCAAATCAATAAACATATTATTTTCTACAGCTTCTAATTTGTTTTCATTGATAGAAAAGTATGATAGACTTTTTAAATTTTTTACTAAATTCGGAGGAAGTATTGTTAAATAGTTGTTATAGATATTTATGACACTCAAATTTTCCAAACCATTAAATAAATTTTCAGGTAATTGAGTTAAAAAATTGTTGGATAAATTAATTTCTGATATGTTTTTGCAATCTTTCAATAAACCTTCTGGAATATCATTTAAAATATTATTATCAAGATTTAACTGTTTTAAATTATGCAATTTTTCAAATAACATCTCTGAAATTCTAATAAGATTATTGTCCCTCAGATCCAAATGTTTCAATTGATTTAAACCGTGGAATAAATCAGCGTTCAATGATTCTAAATTATTACTGTACATTTTGAGATATTGTAGAGAGTGCATATCTTGAAATACGTCATTTGTAAAATTTAATTGTTTATTATCAATTAGAGAAAGATAATTCAAATTTTCCAACTTCATTCTTGTTAAAAATACATTTTCGTTGTTTCGAATGATCATTGTTTGTAATGAAGTTACATTATCAAATGTCTTTTTCTTGATTAACACATTTCCACTTGCTGCAATTTCAAATTTGGTAAAATTTTCATATCTTTGAAAATAGTTACATTTTGAGAGTTTCACATTTTTTGTTGTCATACTGAGAGTAAAGGAACGAGAGTTAACAATCAAGATTGCAAAAATGGCGCTAAATCCTGTAAAAGCATTGATATCACAATTTTTTATTGAATATTCTTGTATTTTGGAATAGTTAATTTCTCTATCAAACCAAGAACTGGTATTGTAATCAAACATTAATAAATTTGCATTATCTAAACATGATATTAATATTTTGTCACGATCCGCATCATTAAAGTCAAAATCAACTTTGAAATTTCCACAAAGATAATTATATTTCGAATTGTATCCAAACATCAAAGAACATGTTTTCTCAGGTACTTCAGATTCTTGTGATAGCACAATTTTTAAAAATGTTATGAATCCTAAAATGCACGATAGTACCTTCATATTGCTGGCTTGATTTTTTAAATAATCTAAAAAACATGTATGTTTAAAAAAAATGTAAATTTTACTTTTTTTAATTATTTAATTATAATATAATTGAAATAAATTGTAAAAGTGATAAATATAATATTTACTATATATTATTAATTTAAAAATTATATATCTAAATAATATATTTATATTTAAATTTTATTATTTTTTTATGTTTATTTTAAATTTTTTCTAAAGTTACTGCTTTAAAATATTTCAGCCTTCTTATCTAAGAAATATTTAAAAAAAATCTTTCGCCACAAAAATTGGTACTTTTTTATAATTTATTAATTTTAGAAATTTTACTGATTCTGAAGTAAAAAAAGAAATAAACCAAGAAAGTAGAAAAGAAAAGAAATAATAAAGATAAAGACTGTTTAGTATTTTTTACTGTTTACTAAATTTTAGATATTCAGAAATGGTAAAAAATGTCAAGAAGTAAAATATTTTTTTTCCTTCTACGCTCGTTTAACTTTTTAGTAAAAATATATTTTAATAATTATCACGTTAATATTTAATGACCAAACAAACTTGTAACATATTCTTATCATATACATCTTATCTTTTTTTTTTACTTTCACAGTGATTTTGGATGCTGAACAAAAAGAAAAGAATTATTTAGTATAAAAACTAACCTGCTAATAGGAAACTTCTTCAACTAATGTTGAAGAAAAAAAATTTTTTGACTTGAAATAAAAAGAAATGTAAGATAAAGAAAGAAATAAAAAAAGCATATAAATATCAAAAACGCAGTTTTATGGAACAACGATTGATAACTCTATATTTGGTAAATGCAAATATATTAAATTTTTAATTTTACTTTCACGAATTTTCGTGAACATTGATTTTTTGAAAATAATTCTTAGATAAGAGGAATGAAAGCTTTTGATACAGTAACTTCAGAAGTAATAAAAATGAAAATAATTTTTCTCTTACAATCTAACTTTTACAAAAATTAAAATTTTAAATCAATTAATTATTTTCAAAGTTGTCAATAAATTAATGTTTTAAATCTTATTTTTCATAAAGTTGGTCTCAGTATAAATAATGCAAGAAAAAATAATAAAATTGTACTTAATAAAGAAAGATACAAAATAATAAATTTTGAACAGAAATGAATAAATTACTCCACTTTAGATCTTCAATAAAAACATTTTCTCGAAAATTTTTTGTTAAAGTAGGTATAGAAAAAAAATCTTAATTTTAATTCGTCGAACAATATTTTTTAACAAAACTTATAATTCTTTTATTCAAAAGAAATGAAAGCATGATTTCTATATTCATCAATTACAATTTTTGTTTAAAGATTCAATTTTTTTAAGGAAAAAAATTAGCAAAAAAAATGTTTCTTTTAATAAAATAATAATTAATCAACAGAAACAATAAATTTTTTAAAATTAATAAATATTTTTGTTAAATAATTAATAATAATAATTTTGAATTAATTATAAAATTATATAATTATAATAATCGGGATAATTTGTCCTCACGTGAAGTTAGTGGTTTTTGATTCTAAATTGTTTTATGGTTCGAATTATTATGTCAAAAGTTTGACAGTTCCTTTGTCAATAATAAAATAAAGTAAAGTGAAAAAAATTATCCCAAATTTCAAAAACTCAATAAAGAGGTACAGTTGAAATGTTTAAACATAATTAATTATTTTATGAATTATTTATTTTTGTATGTAAATAATTGAACTCTCGCAGTTGAATTCTAATAAGAATTATTGATTTAAAAAAAAAATTTAGTTAAAATTTTTGAAAATAATTAGAAGTGTTAAAGCAGAATTCTTTAGAAATAATTAAATTTCAAAAAGTTATTAAATTGAAATCTTTAAAATTCTAATTGCTGCAAAAATATAATAATATTTAAATATTAAAAATGATTAATTTATTAGCTTCCTTAAAAGTTAAGAGGTTTGAATAATATTATTAAAAAATTATGAAAATAATTGAATTTTGGAAGACTTGCAGTTGAAATTTTCATTAAAAATTTTTTAAATCATCGTTTTTCATTGAAAGTATTTCGAAATTTTAAGCAAATAAAAAATTATGAGTATTTAAATATTTATTTTACAAAATTGATTAAAATTTGAAAGATTTAATTTGGAAATTCAGCAAAAAATTAGGTTCTTGAAAAATAGTAATTAAATGTTTTTTGAAGATATACTTGAATTCCAGAAATTAAGTTTCAAAAAATATTGAATCAGTAGGAAATTTTGTAATATTTTATTAAAATAAATTTTATTTTTTCATCTTTAAAAATTATCTGTAAATATAATTGTTATAATAATAATAACAATAATTTTAATATTTAATTTGAAAATACAGTATTTTATGAATTTACAAAAATTATTCTATTTAAATAATTCAATTTTCTTATTTGAATTCTGATAGGAATTGATTTAAAAAATTCAGTTAAAATTTTAGAAAATAATTGAATATTTAAAGTGTTATAACAGGAATTTTAGGAATTAATGATATTTTATAAGATTTTGAAATTAAATTCATTGAAAATTTATTGGAAGCAAAGGTATAAAAAAAATTTAAATTTTTATTTTAAAGAAATTATTAATTACATTATTTTTCATTGAAAATTTGTAAAATTTTGAATAATTTTATTTCAAAAATTCTAAACAAAAATAATTTAATTTTCGAAGAATTATAGTTGCAATTTTTAGAAATAATTTTAAAAAATTGGAACAATTGAAAATTTTGTCAAATGTGATTGAAATAAATTTTATTATTAATTTTATAAATTAAATTAAATTAAATTTTATAATTATTTTTTGTATTGGATTTTATATGTTTACTTTTTCAAGATGTATATATATTTATGTTGACCAGAATAAAATTAGTATAGGTTTAGGATAATAGTAATAAATGTGTTTTTCTTTCTTGCTGGTCGAAATTTGTATTTATTTGTTTACTTTTAAAAATTATTTGGAAATATAATCGTATTTTTGAAGAATTATTCTAATTAAAAATTTGGAAAATAATTGAATTTTAAAAAAATGTAGAATTAAACTTATTACCAGGATTGTACCAGAGGTACTCGATAATTTAATTATTTAATCAAAAATATAAATTTAAGTCATTATTAAAATATTTTGTCGATTTCTACACGAGTTGTTTAAATATTTCTTAATTTTTGTTTTTAAATTTAAAGGAAGAATACCACTATTATTATAGTTAATTAATTAATAATTAAATAATAGAAAAAATTTTTCTTTTTTTTTTTAATTAGAAAAATTTTTAGAAAAAGTTACAAAATTCTAAATATATTATAAAATACAGTGTAAAAATAGTTTTACAGACTTGATATGTTTAATTTGAACTGCGTATTTCTTCATTATCATTTCAAAAGTCATTCACTCGTATGAATTTTATAAGGAAAAATGTTAAAAATTTTCTTTCCAACATTTTAGTAAAGACTCTGGAATAAAAAATTTGTTATAAAGTATCACATATATTTATTTATATATTTCACAAGTATTTAATATGAAAATAAATTTCCATTGAAATAGTATTTAGAAAAAATTATTACAAAAAGAAAAAAATAGAAAATGATTGAAAAACAATTTTAACAGAAAGGAAAATTTTTTTTTTCCCCAAAGTAATAAACGTTTGTATTGAAAAAGAATTCTTTTTTTCCCCTTACGATGAAGCCACCCCTTAATTTAACAATATTATATATATGGGGGGTGCGAGGGACGAAAGAGGGTAGGCGGATCAACCCGGGTACCCCCTGCTTTTCCATGACAGGTGCTGCCATATATGTTCAGCTTCACATTACTAGTATGTCCTAAGCTAACGTTATTTTAATCTAGACACCGTATTCGTAACAAAGTTTTTTTCTTTTTCTGCCTGAAATAAAAATTTTCATTCCACAAAAAATATAAAAATAAGAGGAAGAAAAGTATTCATCCTTTTTTTCAAAACAATGGTTTTTCATCAATGAAAATTGTCATTCTTTAATTTATTTTTTGGGGTAAGTAGAAATTTACTTTCTATGGTATATTTATATTAAAATTCTTGTTTACATTCACTTTTGTAATTTTATGGAAAGAAAAGGAAATTTTTTAAATAATAATTTTTTCATGGTATAATAGTGAATAATGTTTAAGTGTAAAAGAAAAATTGTGTTTTGATTATTTTTTTTACTTGTGAAGAAATTTTCAAAAAGAATTTGAAAAAAAAGAATTCTTTTTACCTTCATGTATAATAATTAGAGAAACAAAAAATAAAGGGTATTGATTGTTTGATGTGCTGCTCAATCGTCCTTGTCATGTGTGTTATGATATTTTAGTTGGTCGAATCTTTTTCATTTCAATTTTGGAAAAAATACTCTACTCTTAATAATTTTTGCTAGTAATTACAATTTTTTTCGAATCATTGTCATTAGTGCGTTTTTAACGATATATTAAAAACCGCTGAAAAATTAAAACTACATTTTTTTTTATTTATTTTATGAAAATTTTTGCACGTTGCTTCCTTACAAAATTTTGTTTTACGAATTTTATATGCCTATAAATTACATTATTACAAATTCAATACCAAAAAACCAGAAAAAATTATTTTTTTTAAAATTTCTCATTTTTTGAAATGTCAATAACTTTGACTGACAAGTTCAAAAAATATTCAGTAAGAGGTCAAAAGACGCGTCTCAAAAAGCACTACAAACTTCAAGAAAAAAAAAATTAAATGTCAATTTATTTCCAAAAAAGTAACTTTTTTCAAAATTTTTTATTTTTTTGAAATGTCAGTAACTTTGGCTAATATTACCGAAAAGTGTTCAATTAGCGGTTGAAAGATACGTCTAAGAAAGCTCTATGAAACTAAGAAAAAAATTTACAGAACTCGGGACAATTTTTTCAAAATATTTTCAAGAAAATTTTTTGGAAAAATTTTAAAAAGTGAAAAAAACATAATTAAACTTAAATATTATTTCCTTTTTCTTGAAGAGTTTTTTTTTTTTGAAGAAAAAATTGATTAAAATTTGAAGCTTTGTTTCGGTATAATATGTATTCTTAAAAATAAAAAAGTTTTAGATTTAAAATCAATTTTAAAGTTTAAAATTTTTAAGTTTTAAAGTTCAAGTTAGTAACAAACGAAAATTTAATTTGCATTTTTCATTTGTTTTAAATACACAGAAAAATTATAATAATTTATATAACAAAATTTTCTTTTTCTTTTATCAATATTAAAGAAAATTATAATTTTACATATAGATAAAAATAAAAAGGCTAATATTTTATCATATAATGTGGAAAATTATTATTTTAATCTTAATTACCGAAAGAGTTATTATCTTTTCTTTTATTATTCTTATCATTATTTTCTTTTACTACTATTATTATAATTATTATTGAATAAAATATTTATAATTAAAGTTATTATTAAATAAATAAAAATTATTATTGTTATTTTCAAAAATAAATTTTTAAAATACTTTAAGGGCATTTGAACTATTATGACGTCAAAGTTTATGCAAAGCATGTGTTCTAAAACAAGTCATATTGGTTCAAATTTCCTTGAGGAAGCACTTTTTTGAATTTTTCATTATTTTTATTTTAACGCAAATAACAAATAAATGATGACTTCAGTAGTTTTTCAATCTAATGAGTATTAAGATATAAAAGATGAAATACAATGCTTTGACTAAAAAATATTTATTAACAATTAATCAATTAATCATTAACTATAATAATAATCGATAATTTTTTTTTTAAATTAATAATATTATTTAGAGTAATTATTATTATTTGGTTTTTCTAAATATTATTTTAATTTCTTTTTATTGATTTTTTTAGTATAATAATTTACTATAATAAATAAAAGTTATAAATGTTTTTTTTCATTATATCATTTTACTTTCGGGTTGGAGTTACAAATAAATTATAAACCTCCTCATAAAATAAAAATTTAGAAAATTAATGAAAACTTGCGTAATATTTTTAAGTAGTTGTCATTGAAGAAGAGATTATAATTTAATAAAAAATTTACAAATTTTTTATGTAGAAATAAAGGAAAAAATTTTGTATACATCACATTCTTTTTAGAAAATTTTTAAGCTTCTTTTGAAAAAAGTTTTTTTTAGATAAATAAAAAAATTGCATAATTTTAAATTTGTAATCACATTTATTGTACAAAATATTTTGTTTTTTTTTAATATATTTAAATTATTTCTCGTCTTTATACACATGTGCACATGTTCTTATTATGTCTTTGTAAAAATATAAGTATTTTGAATATATTTAAATAATACTGAGCGTTTGTCTATGTTTTTTTTTATTTATGTTAAGGAAATACATTAAAGGAAAAAAAAATTTGTGTCTTATTTTACAAGAAGATGACAATTTTTATTAGGCATTATTGTTAAATACCTATATTGACATATTAGAATTAGAAAAGACACGTGTGTTTTAGCGCGTTATTGTAGCTGGTGTTTATTATTGAAAAAACTTCCACAATTTCTGAATGTATTTTGTATAATTTCTGAATACGATTTTGAAATTTTGTGACACCGATTTTACAATTTCCAATATCAATTTTTAATTATTAGATATTTATCGATTTGGAATAGAATTTTGTTAAATAAAATTATGAGTTTTTTTTTTAAGAAAAAGAAGACTTTGCAAAAATTTTTGCAAAATTTCTATTTCTAATCACAATTTTTTAACAAAGTTCTATTTTTTTTAAAAGGAAGTAATTTGCATAACATTTTTATTTCTCAATTACAATTATTTTTTAACAAAATTTGAATTTTCATTATAGAAATAAAGAAAAAACATTTACATTTTTTTTTAGAAAATTTAAAATTTCTTTTGGTAAAAAATTTTCTACAATTTCTATTTGTTTATTAAGATTTTTAATGAAATTATTTAAATAATCTGTATAATTTCTATTTTTTCATCACAATTTTTTAAAGAAATCTAAAGTATTTTTTCAAAGAGTTATATTATTTATTATATTATTTTTACTGAATTTAAAAACATTTTTTATGGATATTTTTTGTAAGGTATAATTTGTTAATGTTATAAACAAATTAACTTTACAATTAAACTGTAGAAATATACGTTCTTCCTAAAGTAATTGTAAAATTATTAGAATAATAGCTATGCCATTTCGACTATAAACAAAAGAACAGTTTATTTGTTAACTTAATTTGTTTATAACATTAAGAAACAATACCATATGAAAAATATAATTAAAAAGAATTATTTTTAACATTATTCTAAAACGAGTAGAAAAGAGAATGATGCCATTTCGACTATAAACAAATGAACAGTTCATTTGTTAATTTAATTTGTTTATAACATTAAAAAATAATGTTTTTCGAACAATGTTTATGTACAACTATTAATGACGACATAATTCTAAAGCCATTAGAAAAAAAGGATGATTTTTAATTACCTGAAAATAGGCAAACAATTTATTTGTTAACTTAATTTAAATAAAAAATTGTTTAATAATATAAACAAATTGTTTTTTTAGTAAAAATATTATTTTTATCTTTTATATATTAAAACTCATTAGCCATATTGTGCATAAATATATTTTTTTCCTAAGAAATGAGAAGTCATCATTTATTTTTTATTTTCATTAAAATAAAAATAATAAAAAATTCAAAATTGTTTAAAAATTTATTTTTTAGTTTAAAAAAAAAATTTGCTAGATTTCGTCAAAATCTGTTGTCTCTAGACTTTTCGAACAGTAAATTGCAGATTCAGACCAATAGAGTGGGGGCAATGAGAGCGAGTGAGATGTCTCAGTTTTTCTCTGTCGCACTCATTGACCCCACTCCGTCGCTCACTATTTCTTCGTAAGCACATCTTACATACTACTTAAGTTCATTTTGATCTACTTTAGAAAAAACATAACACAAAATAGACAAATAACTAAAAAATATCATTAGATTATGTAATAGGCAGTTAATTTAAAAAAATAAACACAAATTGAATAGAAAAATAAAATTGCGTGACAATTGAGTAAATAAGAAGAAATCAATTTTTTTTTTCCTGTTTTTGTTTTGTAAACGTGTGCGTGGAAAAAAATACATATAAAAGAAATCGAAATCAAAATTTACAGGTGGTATAGAACCTAATTACATTGACAACGATTGTGTTCAAGTTTTTCCGGGCATGTTTATCTTAAATAAAAATCGAACCACTTTTCTTATGTACCACTGACTGAACGGCCTAGTTGCTGCTTACTTATTTACTCGGTATGTATATTATAATAAAAAAAAAAAGAAAAAAAAACCCCTTGGCCTTGGCCCTCCTTCACGCAATCTTTACTACCCTGACACGACTTTCCAGCGTGGATTACAGTTAGATTCGAGGGTAGATCATTAACTCTGTAAAGGTACATGTTACTCGGGCAAACTGTTAATCCGTCCTCCTTTGTGTACTTCTTTTCTTTTAAAAATATTACTTTCTTTTTACTTTTCCTATTGTTATTACGAATAAAAATTATTTAAAAGTCAATTTAATTAATTATTATTAAAAATTGTGTTATTTAAGTTTTCATTTTTAAAATTTATTTATTATTATTATTACTAGCAAATTATACGCGGGCCAGCGCGTATAATTTTATATTTTAAATATAAAAAAAAATAAGCCCGGAAAAACTTAAACACAATCGTTGTCAAAATTTTCAAATATTTAAATTAATTAATTAATTCATTCAAATTTTTCATATTACAGATTCCAAATTCTAGAAATTCACTTATTAAGTACATAATTAAATATTCTTGTTTATTATTTCAAAAAAATTTTAATAAAATTTTTCGCATGAATTCAATTATTCTCATAAATAATAAAAATTCTTTGGAGGAATTCAATTATTTTCAATACAATTTTAATTAAATTTCTTGAAAGAATACAATTATTTTTAAAAATATTAATTCAATTCGATTATATTCAATAATTTTAATCAAATTCTTTGGAGGAATTCAATTATTTTTATAAATAATAAACTCTTTGGAGAATTTGAATTATTTTCATTAATAATAAAATTCTTCGGAAGAATTCAATTAATTTTAATACAATTTTAATAAAATATCTCGAAAGAATACAATTATTTTTAAAAATATTAATTCAATTCAATTATTTTTAAACGTTTTAATAAAATTTTTCGATTGAATTTAATTATATCCCAAATTTTTAATAAAACTCTTTCAAAACATTTAATTATTTTCAAAAATTCTTTAAAACAACTCAATAATTCTTATAAATAATAACATTATTTGGAAGAATTGAATTATTTTTATAAATAGTAAAATACCTCAGAGAAGAATTCAATTATTTTCAACAATTTTGATAAATTTTATTAAAAAATTATTTTTTATTTTTTTTTTCATAAATAATAAAATTCTTCGGAGGAATTCGATTATTTTCAATATAATTTTAATAAAATATCTCGAAAGAATACAATTATTTTTAAAAATATTAATTCAATTCAATTATTATTAATAGTTATGATAAAATTCTTAAAAAAAATTAATTATATTTAAACGTTTTAATAAAATTTTTTTGAAACAATTTAATTATTTTTATAAAAATTGTAATAGAATTTTTCTTAAAAATTCAATTATTCTCGAAAGTTTTCGATAAAATTCTTTGTAAATTTCAATTATTTTCCAAATTTTTAATAAATCCTTTGCAAGAATTCAATGATTTTTAGTACATTAAAATTTTTAATTATTAAAAACATTGAATACGAATAATTAAAAAAGTCTATTATTATTAATATTACTATTATCATTATAAATTTAATAATTTACCTACTTACTTATTTAATTTTTAATGTTAATTAATATTATTTGCTAGTTAATTTTTACGAATTTCTATTCATCGGTTTTTTTATCAGAATATTGCAATTTTCATAGTCAATATCCCCCTCCCCTCCCCATAATATTTGCACCTATTTAACTGTATTTTAAATTATATAATTAATTTACTTAATTTAATAAATAATGGACTATTGCCCAAATAATTTATTTATTTAATTATTTATTTTACTAATTTCATTTATTTACTTAATATTATTATTTATTACAAATTTATTTATTACAAATATACTAATTACAGAGTATAATAATTTTTATTATAATATACAGGAGAACATGTTTATTTTCTCCTTTAAAATGTTTATGTTTTACATATATTTTAAAAAGAAAAGTATCGAGGCACGAAAGTTTGAATTAAAATAGTACAGTAAAAATATAAAAAAAAAATTATTTAATGCCTTTTCTCCTTTAGATACGTAAATATCATGCAGTTAAAAGTTTTGTTTCAAGGCTTTATTTAAAAACTTTTTAACAAATCGCCACAACTTTTATAAAACGTATATTAGCGAGAAAAAAAAAGTAAACACATAAAGCAACAAGTTTTTTTTTTTTTTGCAAGAATTTGTGTATTTCTTATGCTTGTGAATAAATAAATAATAAGGTGCGATATAATTAAAACATTAAAAACATACATTATTTCTAGCTCCAATATCGGCGCCAAGATCAATCATTCTATCTAAAAATGCAGTACGATTATCCTTTACGGCATACATTAATGGCGTCATTCCAGTTGCCTGTAAATTCAAAAAAAGAACAAAATTAAAAAATTTCAAAAATTGTACTTTACAATTTTTTTTAAATATCATTAACTGTTTCATTGCATATATTTCACGTTGGAAAAAAATTCGAACTTAGAAGTATGTATTTAAATATGACCTAAATATGTGTATTTTTTCACGCCCATAGATAATTAAATAGTTTTATCGTTGAATATATATTTCACGTTATTATTGTAAGTAAAAATATTTTTGTCAAAAAATTTGAAAAAAATTCTATTTTAATAATTTTATTAAAAAAAAATATTTGGAAAATTTATTCCACCATATGTGGAAATGAGTATAATCATTAGTTGTTATTTTTTAGAAAGAGGCTCACATACTAAATTATTTTAACCGAAAAGTTTATTAACAACAACAAGCTTATTATTTCGACTAGAAAAAGAAATTTTACTCATTATTTTTACCAACAAATAAAATTTTACTCATTATTTTTACCAACAAATAAAATTTTACTCATTATTTTTAACCAACAAATAAAATTTTACTTATTATTTTTACCAACAAGTAAAATTTTACTTATTATTTTAATCAAAAACTGAAAACTCTAGTAAATGTTGCTAATTATTTTTAATGATAAGTGAAATTTTACTAAATATATTATTATTTCTTATAAGTGCAATTTAACTCATTATTTTTATTAATAATTAAAACGTTATTAATTTTCTTACAGAACAAGCAAAAGTTTAATAATCATTTAATTTTTAACTACAACAAGAGAAGTTTTATTTATTAGGTACATAGGGTAAATGCACTAGTAGTCGGACACTTAAGGATACAATCTTAAATTATGCTTTTTTTCTTGAAATAGCAAATATCTACTGTGTTTATAAGCACATTATTAATTAAAGGAGTTCTTCAGGATTAAAAATCATATAAATTTGTTACAAATAGTTGAGTATTTAATAAAATATAAACATTTTAATAAAAAATTACGAATGCTTTAGTAGTCGGACACTTTTTCCCTTTGTTTCTATAGTCGGACATCTGTCAGATATTTTGGATTTATAAAGTGAAAAAGATAATTTTTTAATTGCTATCTGCTGGAAAATGGAATTAAAGCATATTAGAAGTTATTAATATAATATTTAGACCCTATACGTTTTAATATTTATGATTAATTATCAACAAAACTTTGTGCCACTCATCGCGCTACTCGAAAATGGTTGTATCTATAGTCGGACACCATGATTTTTAAAACATTAAATAAAATATTTCTTGTTTAATTATTTTCGAAAATAACACTATTTTAATAAAATATAAACTTCACACATTCGTCTAGTATACTTTTTAAAGTAATTATCACAATGCATTATTATTTATTTCCCAAAAAACACGGAAGTGTCCGACTACTAGTACTGTCCGACTATACCCGCACTTACCCTATATTTACTAAAAATAAAAATTCACTTATTTTTACTAAATATTTTTACTAGCAAAATTGAAATTTGACTATTTTAAGTATAAATGAAACTTTTTCTTAGGTACTATCTTCACTAAAAAATGTGTGTGAATTTTGACAGACCAAAAACTTAAATTTGACTGATTATTATTTTTACTAAAATGTAAAATTTGACAAATTATTTTTAATGTTCATTAAAAAGTAGTATTTTACTGAATATGTTTAATAACAAGTGTAAGTTTACTAATTATTGTCACTAGAATGGTTGGTTTTACTGGATTTTTTTACTTACAAGTAAAATTTTATTTATTTTTTTTCTAAAATGTAAAATTTGACTAATTATATTTACTGAAAATTAAAACTTTACTGATAATTTTTGCTGACAAATAAAATTTTACTGATTATTTTTAAATATGTAAAATTTTTCTTATTTTTTCTAATTCTAACAAATAAATTTTACTGAATATTCTTACTAATAAATAAAATTTTTGTCATTATTTTTACTAACAAATAAATTTTACAAATTATTTTAACCAACATGTAGAATTTCACTAATTATTTTCACTAAAAAGTAAAATTTTACTATTTATTTTAAGTAACAAGTAAAATTTTACTAATTATTTTAACTAACAAGTAAAGTTTTATGCATTATTTTAACTAACTCGTAAAATTTTATTTATTATTTTTGCTAAAAAGTTAAAGTTCACTATTATTTTTATTGCAAACTACTCTTTAAATTCAAATAAGTAAAAGATGTTTACTAATTTGAATTAGTGTTTGACTATTTGCTTTTGAATTAGTAAATTTTACTAAAAAATATTAATTTCTACTAATTTATTAGTCAGGTTCATTAATTCAAAAGCAAAAAGTCAGTAACTTATACAAATTAATAAACATTTTTACTAATTCAAATTTAGAGAGTAAAATTTTATTGATTATTTTGTAAACAAGTTAAATTTTAGTAATTAGTTAGTATTTTAAATTAGTTAAATAATTTTACTTAAAAGTCACGTTTTCGACATTATGTTTAGTAATACGTAAAATTTTACTATTTATTTTTACTATGAAGTAAAAATTTTCTATTAATATTTTTATTAGGTACTAAGCAAAATTTTATTAAATATTTTTACTAACAAGTAAACTGTTATTAATTCCTTTATTAACTTGTTTTTTTATGAATTGTTATTAAATAAATGTTAAAAATACATTAGTTTTATTTCAAAGTAAAATTTTTCTAATTAATTCTACTATCAAGTAAAATTTTACTAAACTTTTAATAACAGGACTAAAAAATAGAACTTTGCTAAACATTTTTTTTTTAATAAAATGTTATTTTTTTGCTTATAAGTAAAATTTGACTGCTTATTTTTACTAAAATGTAAAATTTCACTAATTATGTTCAATAATGCGTGCAAATTTACTAATTATTCTTACTAACAAGTAAAATTTTAATAATTATTTTAACTAGAATGGGGAATTTTACTAATTATTTTTACTTCCAAGTAAAATATTTTACTGTTTATTTTTTAACATTTAAAATTTTTCTTATTATTTATACTAACAAGTGAATTTTACTGAATATTAAATTTAATTTTTTGATGAATAGTTTTACTTCAAAATTCAAATTAAGTTAAGGAATATGTAAAATTTGATTTCTTAACTTTACTATCAAGTGAAATGTGATTAAATATTTTTACCATAAAGTAAAATTTTTTTTACTATTTTTACTACTAAGTAAAATTTTTGCGAATTATTTTCACTAACAAGTAAGCTTTTATTATTATTATTCCTTTATTAACATGTTAAATTTTACTAATTTTTAAACAGAATTAAAAAAAAAATAAAAAAAAATAAAAATTTTTTAATAACAGGATTAAAAAATAAAACTTTACTAATTAGTTTTTTTTGAGTAAAATGCTATTTTTTTACTTATAAGTAAAATTTGACTAATTATTTTTACTAATATGTAAAATTCAACTAATTATGTTCACTAAAACGTGAAAGTTTACTAATTATTTTTACTATCAAGTAAAATTTTACAAATTTTTTTTTACTATAGAGTAAAATTTTACTAACTATTTTTACTAACGAGTAAAATTTTTTTTCCTACTTTGAATTAGGCCACGAATTAAAAAAAAAATGTTTTCCTAATTTGCATTAGACAGCGATTAGAAAAATTTTTTTTCTAATTTAAATTAGGCCACGAATTAAAATTAGGGGAAAACATTTTACTCCTTAGTTAAAATAGTTTGTTTAATTTTACTCGATATTAAAAATAAAATGAATAAAATTTTATTTCATACTAAAAATAATGTTTTTAACAATTTTTTAATTTTTTGACTAATTTAGAGAATTTATTTAGCATTGTTAGTGAAATTTTAATTTTACAGTAAATTTAAAATTAAAAAATTTAAATTTAATTTTCACCACAGTAAAAATAATTAGTAAAATTTTACTTCATAGTAAAAATAATTAGGTAGTAAAATTTTACTTCATAGTAAAAATAATTAGTAAAATTTTACTTGATAGTAAAAATAATTAGTAAAATTATACTTGATGGTAAAAATAATTAGTAAAATTTTACTTGATAGTAAAAATAATTAGTGAAATTTTACTTGATAGTAAAAATGATTAGTAAAATTTTACTTTATAGTAAAAATAATTAGTAAAATTTTACTTGATAGTAAAAATAATTAGTAAAATTTTACTTCATAGTAAAAATAATTTTTTTTTAAATTTAAAAAAAAAATTTTTTTGTTGACTAATTTAGAGAATTTATTTATCATTGTTAGTATGAAATCTAAAATTTTACCGTGTCCAAAACACCGGATAGCGGTTGCGGATTCCCATCTTCGCCCGCATTTTGTGCCGCCTTCTCCAAAGATTTGAGCAACTGGTCCACGGGAGACCATTCTCCTCTGGATGCAAGACCCAAAAGTCTTTGCGACGCCTCTCTTGTGGTTGCACCCGCAGAACCTGGTTTACTTCCGGGTTGCGATGGCTCACCACTAACCGCTCCATTACTTCCTGTTGATCCAGAACCACCATCTTCTTTTGCTCCCGCCGGACTCTCCTCTTTACTCGAAGAACTCTTTTTCTCGTCCTTTACCGTGGACTTTTTATTACTACTCATCTTACGTCACTTGATCTCTTCACAATCATCGCTCGATCACTTGTCATCGATCCTTTTTTGCCCCACAGTTTATTTCTGCTTAATTTTTCTTTCTGATTTTGTTTCCACTATTTTTTCTCCTATATTTTTTTTATATTTTATTTTTATTATTATATTATTTTTTATACTTTTTTCAACTATTTTGAATATTATAACAGCATGTGACTGTTAGATGATCAATGCTAATTTTTCGACCTTTTTTCTCTTAACTAATTGCTAACTTCTTTCAGTTTTTCTTTTTTAAAAATTAATCACAAATTATTTTTTTAATTTTTCAAATTGAGCCAAAAAATTTTATCTCAATTTGATATCCTTAAAAATAGTGTTGATACCGAATGATAAATTCTTCCTTTAATTTTTCTCTTAATAAATAAATTCTCTCTAAATTTTAATTACTAAAAAATTTATTAGTTTGAATTAGTGACCGACTTTTTGCTTTTGAATTAGTAAAGTTTACTAATAAATTAGTAGAAATTACTATTTATTAGTAAAATTAATTGAATTTACTAATTCAAAAGCAAAAAGTCAGTCACTAATTCAAATTAGTAACAATTTAACAATTTTACTAATTAAAATTTAAAGAGCAGTGTAAAATTTTCAAAAATTCTTTTGATTAATTATTAGAAAACACTTTGAAATTTGTAAAACGAAAGAGGCCTCAACTGGTAATTTTAAAATGTTTTACAATAATTAATTTTAAAAATATTTCAACTTTTGCACCTCACTGGCCTTTTTTATTATATTTAAATACAAATGAAAAATTATATATAAAATAAAAAATTATATTTATACAAAATATCGGCTGAATTTATTATAATTAAGGGAAAAACGGTCGAAAAATTAAGATTGAAATTGTAGCAACTAGTCACATGGTGTTAACACTCGAAAAAATTACTCACAGTTAGAAAAAAGTTTTTTCATAACAAGAAAAAAAAAACTCTTTCATCAGCCGCACATTATAAAATCACTTGTTAGGAACGATTTAAAAAAAAAATGTAAAATTCTATTTAACCAATTTTTTCTTTCAGTGGAAAGATGAAAATTTCCACTTGGGAAAAGAAGAGAATTTTTCCTTATTTTGTTGAGGTAAGATTAGTAATAGATGTTTTCCTCACGGATTTCCTCACGATTCTGAGGTTCTCTTGCAGCAAAATAAGAGAGGGTGGTTTTCGTCTCCCTTCATAGAGTCAGGATCGACCAATCACAGGTACACTGCCGTGGTTTCGTTCAGGTATTACTCAACACGATTTTAACTTTGTTGGGCTACATTCACGAATGCAGTGTATTTGTGTGTGCATGCAAATTTCTAAGGTGGTAGGTCGTAAGGTTGTTAAAGAGAGGGAGAGAGAACCTATAGAGGAGAAACAAGAAATGCTTCTGGAGACGGATGAGGGGTGGGTGGAAGGGCTTGCTTTACCGTCGACACGCGACTTCCGGTTTTTCGGATGGTAGGCACGCCATCATGGTATTCAGTACCTATACGGTTATCACCCTCTTTTGTTCAAAAAGAAACTGCCCTACTGTGATTGTCTTTTCATTTTTCTTTCAAATCTCCCCCAAAAATGTAGATGAAATAATCTTTATTCCCTATTTTTTTTTAATTGTAAATTTTATTGTATTTTTTTTTTATAAAATCTCTCTTTAAATCTAAATAGTTTTGAGTCATTCAACAGCACAGTTTCGTTTAGAAAATGCATACTTACTCAGCATAGAATTTTGCGGAAAAAATAATGATGATGATGATGATGATGATGATGATTTATTTTGGGAAAATGAAAAAAAAAATTATTTTGTTTGACACAAAAGTAATAGGCGATCTTAAAAGCTCCAAAGTACCAAATATCATAGAAATTGCAATAATTTTACAAATATCTTCTACCATATTTGATCCGCCATTTTGAATTTTTAAAATCTGACTTCAGATTCGTAATCAGCGACCCCGAAAACCCTCGAGTAACAATTTTCAAGCGAATTTGAGCAATTTTGAAAAAAAACATCCGCCATATTGGATCCGCCATTTTGAATTTTGAAAATCAGATATCAGATTTGTAATAAGCGACCCAAAAAAACATTCGAGTGGTAAATTTCGTAAAAAAATGCATGAATTTTAAATATATCGTCCACCATATTGAATCCGCCATATTGAATTTTCAATATAGCATAATAATGTGATTTTAGTTTGCAACAAATATTTTAATCTAACATTATAAATCAAAAATCATAAACATCAACAACCAACATTAACATTAATTATAAATTACAGTATAACATTGTACCAAAATCAAATTTTCAATAATTTTCAAAAACGAAAAATTCAATATTTTAAAAATTTTGAATTTTCGACAACTTATCTTGAAATTATGTTTAAATGTAACACAATTATTATAGAAATAGATAGGTACGCATGCTATAGTAACTTAAAAAATAAATAAATAATATAAAAATTTTTTTTTATTTTTAACATTTTTCAAAATAGTGTCAAGTCTTCTGTTCTAATAAATTTTTTTTAGCCAAATAAACTTATGATTCTAACCGAGATTCTAACAAAACATCTTTATTGTGGACCTAAAATTATTATTATTATTATTATTACTAATTCTATTATTATTATTATTACTTTTATTTTTAAAAATTTTATTTTCATTTTATTTCATTTTATTTATTTGACGGGACAAGCCCTTTCGTACATAGTACTCGTAAATCTAATAGTTACACAGGTAACAATACCGAAAAATAAATTCAAACTAAATCTAGGTTGACGCTTATTTAAAAGTTAAAGTTCAGTATTTAGTATTATTGTTTATAAGATTTATTGTTATTTTTATGTTTATTTTTATTTTCAATTCTATTTTTATTTTTGTTCAAAGTATTATTGAACTTGATTTCAATGTATTTAAAATTTTAATTGATTGTAAGTATAGGCACTTAAGTGCTGGAGTGGTGGCAATGAGAGTGAGACATTCCAATTTTTCTCTGTCACTCTTTTAATTTCATCGTTTAAGATTCACTTATTATTAATTAACGCTCCTTTAGTACAAAAAAATACACTTTTTTATTTTTATTGTTATTTTTACTATATTTATTTAGAAAATAAAACTATGGATTTATTTAAAAATTAAAAAAAAACTAATTTGAATTATTGCACTAGTTACTAATTTTTATTTAGAAAGTAGTAATCAATTTGTTGGAGAGAATAAATTTTAATCTGTACAATATCAATTAGCGAACAATGGAAGAGAAAAGAAGAGAAGAGAAAGAAGTAAATTTAAAATTAACCACTTATCAGCTTTATTGTGCTCTTAATTATTCTGTAACTTGAATTCCGATATTTTTTTTATTCATAATTCGGTAATAATATCAATTTAAAAAAAAAGATATTTATTTGTTTATTGAACATTTTCTTAAAAATTTAATAAATCTGCTAGACAATTAGTATAAAATGAGTAGATTAAATTTTTTTTGTTACATTTTTAAAGTTTTTTCCCCCTTTTTTAAGCTTAAAAGAAAGATTATAATTTTCACCGACAGTCGCTCGTTTAGCGCAGCGGTTAGAGCTCTTCGCTTGTAAATTTTCAACTTGGGTTCGATTCTCCGCTCTGTGAAATTTATTTTCTGGTATTTTTCTTTCTTTCTGTAATGTTACTTTTCCAAAATAAACATTAGTGTACAAATAGGGTATGATAAAATTAAGCAAAATTGACAAATAAAAGTAAAAAAAAAAATATTTATCCAGAAATGTTTTTGGGTTTTAGAAAGCGCTGTACAAATTGCATCACTCAATCTATTGCTGTCTTTGAACCTAATCTTTCGAAAAAATAGAATTCAGAATAAGAATAGATTAGCAATGACGTCAATAAGCAAAGCGCTGTACAAAGTTGCCAGCCTCAACAGAAAAAAAAAAAAAAAAAAAAAAATTATTTAACGCTGTTTTTGCTGGTTTCCTCTATTAAGAATACTATATACAAAAATAGAACGGATAAAAAAGATAATTAGAATAAAAATCTCCTGGTAAAAAGCAGTAAAAAAAATAATTGTTTCAAATCCTCAAAAATTTATAATTAATTTCAATTAGATTGGAAATTCTTTTACTTTGCGTAACTCGCGCAAATTAATTTTCATTGTGAATGAAAAGTGACGGTCTATTGTGTGGCGTAACAGAATATTTAAAATGTATCCCGCAACCACATCAAACCCACTCTTCACCCATAAGTTCGAGTCTATAGATCATATTAAACAATTAATAGTTTATTCACTTCAGGGCTGAATTTAAATGCAACGTTGGTCGCCCCCTTCATTTGTGCGTTCTCTTTAATTTTAGATGAAAACAAATTTTTTTTCAACCCCCTCAAAAAAATGTAGAAAAATAAATTGCTCTTAATTTTTTTCTAATAATTAATCTTGTAAAATTTGAAAAATTTGTTCTGAGTTCATGACCCCCATTGTCACTGTACTGAAACCCGTCCCTGTCATACACTTGAAATTAACTTCTCCGAGAGTGAACCTTATGCAGTTTAAATAGTTTTAACGAGACCATCTGAAGATAGATAGGGTTTAACGATCTTAAAAAATCGCCTCTAGTGAATTGTCAAATTCGATTTATAAATTAGTTTTAAAATTTAAAAATTTGAAATTTTGAAAATTAGTTTTGTAATTGTTTTTAAAATAAAAAAAAATAAATAAAATACGGATTAATTATTCGTTATAATGATACCGTAAATGTGTAAAATAATGTTTTAATAATAGTTTAATGTTGAACTTTTTTTAGTAAAAAGGAAGAGAGGAATATTAATAAGAAGAAGAAAAGAAAATTAAAATTAGAAAAAAGTTAAAAAATAAAGGAAGAAATAATGTCGGCCAGTGAGGAAAAAGAATATCATTTGAGAGAAAAGGAAGAGGATGTAGTGTCAACGAGTGATGAGAAAGATTATAAACAGAAAAATGAAACATTTGTGGAAAAATTTAGTGTGTGGCGAAAAAATATGATTTGGAGATATTTTTGCTTCATTACGTTATGGCATGTTATTGGTTTTTATGGATTTATCACGTTTCCGTATTCAACTCATAAATTGACAACCTTATGGAGTATGTGAATTCAAATATTATATCAAAAAAATCTATTTTAAAGAAAATATTTTAAATATTCTATTCTACACCCAGAAAAAAAATATATTGACTCAGAAACTATTAAACTTTTTATTTGTTTCAAATAAATTTTATTTGGTTTTAAAAAAACTTTTGTTTGTTTCAAATACAATTTTTTTTGGTTCAAATGAAATTTTATTTCCTCCAAATAAATTTTATTTCATCCAAATAAATTTTGTTTCTTTCAAAAAAAATTTTAATTGTTTGAAATAAATTTCATTTGGTATAAATAAAATTTTATTTGGTTCAAATAAATTTTTTATTTGGTTTAAATAAATTTTTTATTTGGTTCCAAGAAACTTTTATTTGTTTCAAATAAAATTTTATTTGTTTCCAATAGTTTAGTTGTAGTTTATTTGTTTTATATAAATTTTATTTGAATTAAATAAAAATTTATTTGGTTCAAATGAACTTTTTATTTGGTTTCAAAAAATCTTCATTTGTTTCAAATAAAACTTTTTTTGGATAAAAAAAAATTTTAATTGTTTCCAATAGTTTAGTTGTAGTTTAGTTATTTTAAATAAATTTTATTTGTTTCGAAATATTATATTTAATTCAAATTAAAATTTTTTTTGTTCAAATAAACTTTGTATTTGTTTCAAATAAATTTTATTTGGTTCAAAAAAACTTTTATTTGGTTTCAAAAAACTTTCGTTTGTTTCAAATAGTTTAGTTGTAGTTTAGTTATTTTAAATAAATTTTATTTGTTTCGAAATATTATATTTGGTTCAAATTAATATTTTTTTTGTTCAAATAAACTTTGTATTTGTTTCAAATAAATTTTATTTGGTTCCAAAAAATTTTTATTTGGTTTCAAAAAACTTTCATGTGTTTCAAATAAATTTTTTTTTTGTTCAAATAACATTTTTTTTTGTTTTAAATAAAAAATGGTTTCAAATAAATTATATTTGGTTCAAATTAAATTTTCTTTTGTTCAAATAAAGTTTCTATTTGTTTAAAATAAATTTTTTTTGCTTCAAATAAATTTTATGTTTCCAATATAATTTAGTCCTCGAAAAAATTTTTTTATTTAAAACAAATAAATAATTTAGTAGGTTCTGTGTCAAACATACTTTTATTTAACTCAAATAAATGATATTTTATTCAAATAAATTTTTTCTCTGGGTCTAAATGGAATATTTTAAATAAATAAATTGATATTCTACTTTAAATATTCTACTCTAAATAGAATATTCCAAGTATTGTATTGTGAATAAAATATTCCAAAGAGAATATTTAGAAAAATTATAAAATAATAAAAACTTTTTTTTTAATTTATAGTTGTCATTGTATATCTTTACGCTGTTTTTGGATTATGTGGTGGTGCTCATCGTTACTGGTCACATCGATCTTTTAAAGCAAAATTACCTCTTCAAATTATTTTGGCCGGTGGTCACTATACAGTTGGCATAGTAAGTTTATAAATTATTTTAAATTAAAAAATTATTTTCAATTTGAGGATATTAAAAAAATTTTGCTAAATCAACTTTTATGATTTTTCAATTTTTTTTAGAAATATTTTCCCAAATACTCACAAAGAAATATTTTATTCAAATCAAATATAATAAAAGTCTATTTGTCATAGAGCCTACTGAATTATTTATTTGTTTTAAATAAAAATTTTATTTTCCACCATTTTTCATTAAATTTAGCACTTATTTAAATTGTTATTTAAATCCAATAAAATTTTTTTCAATCGAATAAAATTTAGTTGAATCAAATAAAATTTTTTTCAATCGAATAAAATTTATTTAAAACAAATAAAATTTATTTGTATCAAATAAATAATTTAGTAGACTTTGACTCAATCTAATCATTTTTTCAAAGAAAATTTTACTTTGAAAAAAAAAATTATGAGAATTTTTTTAAAAATCTAAAGAAATGTAAATTATTGAATTTTATTAATTATTTTTATAAATGATAATAATAGAATTTTTTTAATTTAATTCAAGCTTAGAATATACGATTGGGTTAAAATACACAGAGTTCATCATAAATATACGGATATGGATGCAGATCCACATAATGCATCACGAGGATTTTTTTACGCTCACATTGGTTGGTGGGTGCAAAAAAAGAATCCAGAATTTTTAAAACGACTCAAAGAAATTGACATGAGTGACGTGAAGGCTGATCCAGTTGCAAATTTTGGAGATAAGTGAGTATAGAAAAAAAAAATATATATTTTTCTTTTATTTTTTAGTTACTTTTTTAACAAATTTTTCTCACTGAAACTTTCAATTTAAAAACAAAATTAAAAAAAAATTAAAAAATATTAAAACGTAAAAAAAAACTTTAAAAGTTATGTATAAAAATAATGTTAAAATACTAAAAAGTTTAGCAGGATATTTGTAGTTTTTGGAAATTGAAATTTTTGGAAATTCTTAATTAAATTAATCGTTTTTGTCCAAAGCAATTAATAATTTTTTATTATTTTCTTTAAATTTTTGGAAACTATTTTGATTTTTTTTTTATAATATAAAAAAAATTCTTATTGAATTATTTCTATTACAGATACTACTATAGTATGTTAACACTAATGACCGTAATTTTACCATCACTGGTACCAATATTTTTATGGAATGAAAGTTTCTATTGGGCGATATTGTCACAAGCATTTATGCGTTATGTATTGGCATTAAATTCAATTTTATTGATTAATAGTGCAGCACATATGTTTGGATCAAAACCATTTAATAGGTAAATTATTTCACCATTTTCATTAATAGTTATTGAACTAAAAAACTTTTTATTTTAATTTTACTATTTTTTTTGTTTTAAATGAAAAAAAATTCATTTGATTCAAATAACCGATTACTTGTCTATTATATCAAATCAATATTTACTTGAATCAAAAAAATTGTAATTAAGCCAATTAAATGGTATTTTTATCAAATACTAAAATAATTAGTTAAGATATAATTTATTTTAAAATTAAATTTTATTTCAATAAAAATAATTTGATTCAAGTAAATGGGTAAAAAATGTCAAACTGGTAAACAATGAGTAGAAAATGTTGAAAAATGGCAGTATAAATTTGATTTGAATAAATTTGAAGTATGGAAAAGTATTGCTATAATATTATATAAAAATTTATTTATTTATTTTAAAATTTGTTTATTTTTAATAAAAAAATTTTGAAAAATCCAACAGGTACATAATGCCGAGTGAAAATCGTCTAGTTGTACTTTTAACAACTGGAGAAGGATGGCATAATTTTCATCACACATTTCCCTGGGATTTTCGTGCCGGTGGAATTGATAAATACGACTTTAATTTAACATCCTTTTTAATAAAGCAATTTGAAAAAATAGGCTGGGCCTACGATTTAAAGACAGCAAGTAATGATCTTATTAAAGCGACATCAATAAAGAGAGGCGACGGTAGTCACACAAAATTATGGGAAGAAGTTCCTGAACCTAAATAGTATAAATTGTAAACTGAAAATTTTTCCTATTTTGAGGATGTAATTTTTAATTTATTTCATTTCATTTTATTTATTTATTTATTATAATTATAAATATAAATTGAAATTTTGATTTAATGTGCCATTATATATTAATTTTTTTTAAATTACATTTTTTTGTTTCAAATTAAACAAAGTGCAGTGTTATTAGTATAAATTTAATTAATTTTTTTTAAGTTTATTTATTGGTTCTTGATTTAAGATGAGAGCGAATAATCTATAAATATAATAAATATTGTAAAAAAGAAGATTGTTTTACAAAATAAATTATAAATTTGTCATTTTTCTAGGATAAAATAATGTTGGATATGTATAATTAAGGGGAGGAAAAGGTTTGTAATTTAAAATAAAACAAGAAAATAATAATTGCTTTCTTTTTCTTACCGTTTTTTTTAATGACTGGAAATTTATCTAAGTCACGAAAAATATATAATAATTTGAAGCAACTTTCACTATTTTTATTATATAGTAAAATCTACCATTGTATTACAATGACAATTTTTACTATTTCTGGAGTAAATTTTTACTATACATTTAGAGTAAATTTTACTGCTTCCAAAGTCAGTTTCATTGTATCTCAAGTAAAATTTACTATATTTATGCATGTAAATTTGAATTAACTTTTACTATTTTCAGAGTAAATTCTGAATTTTTAGACATTAAACAATTTTTACTACTTTCAAAGTAAATTTTATTATACCCTCTAGGTAAATTTTACTATTTGCAAATTAACTTTCACTATGTTTATATAATTTAAATAATTCATAATTTTTCATGTGCAGTAAATTTTAAATTGTTCGGAGTTTTTACACATTATTGTCAATTTTAATTATTTTTCAAGCAAATTTTATTTTACCCAGAGAAAATTTTACTATTTCTCATGTTACTTTTACTATACTTAATACATAATTTCAGTAATCTTTTACTATATTCATTATTAAATTCAAAATTGTTTTTTGGATTATTACTATTTTCAAAGCAAATTTTACTACATGCAAATTTAATTAACTTTTACTTCATTTTCAAAGTAAAGCAAGTTTAATTATTTCTCTATAACTTTTTACGCATTAAAGGTAGTTTTTATTATTTATAATGTAAATTTTACTATATACTGAATAAATTTTACTATTTTTGATGTAAATTTTACAATATTTAAGTAAATCTAAAAATCTTATTACCTACTATATTTTCATGATAAGTTTAAATTTATCTAGAATTTTTGCACATTACTGTCACTTTTTTAAAATTTTTATTTTACTATTTCCAAAGCAACTTTTACAAGATTTACATAATTTAAGTAATTGTTTACTATTTTCGTATAACAATTTCAAAATTTTTCGCATAATTTATGCGCATATTACTGTCAATTTTTACCATTTTCAAATGAAATTTTACTTAGAGTATATTTTACTGTTTCCGAAGTCAATTTTACTATATTAATGTAATTTCAGTAAACATTTATATTATTTTAAAAGTGAATATTAAATTGTCTGGAATTTTTGCGCATTCCTGAAAATTTTGACTATTTTTAAAGTAAGTTTTACTATCATGAGTAAATTCTACTACTTCGAAGTAAAAAGAACTGCCATTTTGGATTTTGAAAATTTTAAAAATCTAACTTCATATTCGTAATCAGCGACCCCAAAAACTCTCAAATAACAATTTTCAATCGAATTTGAGAAATTTTCGAAGAAATATCCGCGTCATATTGGATCCGACATTTTGAATTTTGAAAATTTTGAAAATCTAACTTTATATTCGTAATCAGCGACCCCGAAAATCCTTGAGTAACAATTTTCAAGCGAATTTGAGCAATTTTCGAAAAAATATCTGCCATATTGGATCCGCCATTTTGAATTTTGAAAATTTTGAAAATCTAACTTTATATTCGTAATCAGCGACCCCGAAAATCCTCGAGCAACAATTTTCAAGCGAATATGACCAATTTTCGAAAAAATATCTGCCATATTGGATCCGCCATTTTGAATTTTTAAAATCTGATCTCATTAAATAAATAAATAAAAATAATTTTCAAGAGTAGTAATTTTTAAGCGAATTTGATCAATTTAAGAAAAATATCCGCCATATTAAATCCGCCTTTTTGAATTTTGGAAATTTTTTAATTCTAACGTTAGATTCGTAATCAACGACCCTAAAAATCTCCGAGTAACAAATTTCAAGCGAATTTGATCAGTTTTGAAAAATTATCCCTCATATTGGATCCGCCATTTTGAATTTTGAAATTTTTGAAAATCTAACTGCAAATTTGTAATTAATGACCCCAAAAACCTCCGAGTAACAAGTTTTCACAAAATCAAAGAATCGATCAGGAAATTAATCAATGCAAGAATAAATGTAAAATAAGATTTTTGGTACTTCAGATAAGTAAAATATTTGCGGTTGAAATAATAATATACTTCCGCCAAATACTGAATTTCTTCGGTTCAATGCTAATAATTACTTGGCACAAGAAAATAAATTTTTTATTTAAAAAAAAATTAATTCAAGTAAATTATGTCAAGTAAATGTATTTACTTGATTCAATTAAATTTTGTTTCAATGCAGTAGTATAATTTAAAGAATAAAATTTTACTATTAAAGTTTAAAATTTAAAGAGTTGCTTTTATTAAATACTTTGAAGCACTCTTTCCCCTGTCATTTGTACTTGAATGCACTTCACTGACATTCATGTATTGCATAATATGCTTAGGAAGCATATACATATATGTAATATTACACACGTGCGTTGAGCTATATGTTGTATAAACAGAAATAAGTGTCAATGAATCATCAATATATGAGGACTTGTAATCCTTGTTCTCCTTCAATTTCCTAACGAGAGTTGGAATTATATTATATCATTTTAGAATTTTACACTCATTCTAACTGCAATGCAGTTTCTTTGAATGAATCTCTGATATAGAGAGAATTAAACTTTACAACGTATTTAGTCAATCTATGTTGATAATTCATTGTGATTTATTATCTAGTACCAGTGAAGTGTCGTGTTCCTAAACCCTTATAAAGTGTCCTTGTCCCTTTTATCAGGTGATATACTCGACCGTATGTAGTTCAATTTCAAAATTAATTTAATGAATGTACATATATTATTAAATCTAGTTTCTTTATTATTTTTACATTTCTTTTTCCACTTCTTTATATATTGTTACACATTGTCGGAAGAAGATAATATTTAAATAAATTTTTAAGAAATTAATATTTTTTTTATTGTTGTAATTAATGTATTGATATATTGATAAAGCGGATTTGTCGGTACGAGTTAATTTACATGATTAAAATGTTATTGCCCGGCGACGTTTTGTGACGTAGAAGATAAAATAATACGATTATCAATTCATATTTTCTATCGCAACGCTCTTTGACTTTAGTTTTACTCCCGACTTTAACGCGCATTATTGTATCCTCGCGTTGTATTCGGTAGAAAAGAAAGAAAGAACGAAGAAATGCTTGCTAAAAATTTTCGTGCGTTGTCTAAATGTATTAATCTTACACGCAATGATAAATTAGAAATATTACAATCAAACATTCTACACGGAAGAGGTAAAGGTGATTTTTATGAATATTCACTTGTACGAACTTTGTAAGTAAAATTATACAAGAAAAAAACAGTAAATACCAAGTTTGTATTTAAAATCATTATCTAAGTGTGAAGATTTGTTTGTTAACTATTGCAAAAAGAAGAAAAAATAAATAATGGAAAGTTATACTTATAGGGCAAATATTTTTTTGTACCTTACAATTATAATCAATTAATTAATTTATAATTTATCTGTTTATTTATTTTGAACTTCAATTATTACGTAATGAGAAATTTAAAATTGATTCTTTGTTGTTAAAGATAAATATTTCATTTCTTTGTTACGTTAACAATCGAACAGTTATCACAAGGATGGAATTGTAAGATAAATATTTAATTATCTACTTCTTTTGATATTAATTTCAAATTAATTGTTTATTTTACTCAATGAGTCATTATTGAAGGTATGACTATACCTTACTTGACTATGAATATGAAAAAAGTATTAAAATTGTAAAATAAAACGAGAACGAAAAAAAGATTTCATACATCAGAAATAAATTAAACTCTTTGACTATATCATAGACGCACGAACCTTGAGAAAAACGCAGACTTTCTTATAGTCCGTGCGTTTGACATGGTCAAAAAGTTTAATTTTTTTGGATGGGCGATTTTATTTTATTATTTTGATTGTTGTTCTTTCAGACATTGTAGTCAAATAAGGTAAAGTAACTTTAAGGCCTTAATAAACGATTTTCATAATGAAAGTGTACAAATTAACATTTTTATATAAGTAAATTGAAAAAACCATGGCTGAAGACAAAAATACTTTTTTCTGTACAAAATTAATAATTTTCCACTACAACCGAATTCTAAAAAATCATGGAAAAGAACAAGAATATTTTAAAATACAAAACTTGTTAAATTTTTAGGAAAGTCCAAAACATATCGAACTATTGACAATGTAAAAATAGTTTAATACCTTAAAATATTTATATTTTGACTATGGTCAAAATCTAGTCAATCATGACCAACGACAAAAATATTTTGAACCCTCAAAATATCCATTTACTATGACCATGTCCAAAAATCTAGCAAACTATGGCCAACGGTAAAACTAATTTAAATTTGAAATTTTCTATATTTCAACAATGGTCACAATTTAGGACACCATGGAAAACGACAAAAATATTTAACAAACGGAAAATGTATATATTTTGAACAAGGTTAAAATATAGCGAACCGTGGCTAAAGTAAAAGTATTTAAAAACTAATTTATTTAAATGTATAAATATACATTTAAAAAAAAAATAAAATAAAAAAAAATCTGGCGAATCAATGACAAAAATATTTTAAACCCACAAAATTTCTATATTTTGACTATGGTCACAAACTAAAAAACTATGTCCAATGACAAAAATAATTAAAACCCTCAAAATATCTGAGGAGCAAGTTTTCAAAACTTGATAAATCCATAATATTTTCTTATTTCGAGAAAATGAAACAAATGACTTTTCTCACATAACCACTATAGTAAATTTTAAATTAAAAAATTTGTATTAATTTATTTTTATAACAATGTTTTTATATTTAAGACGTTCTGTTTTTAATCAAACATTATCATAATTAAGTGATTTAAAGGTTTTGGTAATTTTTTCTAATAAAAAACATAAAAATTATAAGTCATCTTGGTTATGTCAAAAAGTTTTTAAATTGAAAATTCGTTGTTAATAAATTTTTTTAAAATATTTAACAGTGACAGGTCGATTTGTGAGGTCTTTAAAATATTAAATTTATGTTTATCTCAATTTTTTTCTAAAAATGGATTTATTAGCTTTTGAAAATTTGCTCTTCATCTATAATTTTGATCATGGCCAAAATCTAACAAAACATGGCCAACGGGAAAAATAGTTTAAAACCTAAAAATTTATATATTTTGACTATAGCCACATTATTTGGTCCTAAATTATTTTTGCCTTTTACCATGGTTCCCTAGATTTTAATTATGTTTAAAATATATAAATATTTTTGGTGTTGGATCAGAATTCGTGAAATTTTCGCGAAAAATAAAAAGTTTTTTTTAAAACGAAATGTTGAGAAAAAGATTTCTATTTGGCCTTAGGAATAAGTCTACCAAAGGACGGAAAAAAAATTTGTTTATAAAAGTTATTGCAAAATGAATTTTTTTGCAACTTTTTAAGATTCAAATGAACAAAGCGGGAATACAAAGGGAATAAAATATACTTTCGTTTAGAATTAGAAAATTTTTAAAAAGTTTATTTTTTAATAATAATTTAATAAATTGTTTACAAAGAATTTATTTTTTTTTAATATTCTGTGCCTTTTAAAAATTTGAAAAAATTTCAACATTCAATCAAAACTATATATAAGGAATCAAAATCATAGTTGAGAAAATTTAGGAGCGAAAATTATTTTAAAAGTTATAATGAAAATTAAATTGGCTCGGTGTAATGCACCAGCGCTATACTTAGTTTTTGATCATTTCTATGGTTAAATAATGTTAATTCGACAGTGTTTTGTTCATTTCGTAGTTGAAAATAATGATATAGTTCTGAAAAGCATCAAAACGCATCTCAGCGCAATATAATTTTTATTATAACTTTTAAAATAAAATAACAATTAAAAAATAAACTTTTTAAAAATTTTCTATTTCTAAACGAAAGTATATTTTAACACCTTTGAATTCCCGCTTGGTTCTTTTAAATCGGTTCATTCATTTAGAAGAAATAATATTTTGTTTAAAAAGTTGCAAAAAAATTCATTTTGCAATAACTTTTATAAAAAGAAAACATTTTTTCTGTCCTTTGGTAGACTTATTCCTAAGGCCAAAAGGAAATGTTTTTTCAACATTTCGATTAAAAAAAAATACTTTTTATTTTTAATATTTTTTATTGAAAATTTCACGAATTCTGACCCTGTTTTAAATATTTTTGTCGTTGGTCATGGTTTCCTAAATTGTATCCATAATCAAAATATAGAAAAATTTTTAATTTAAACTATTTTTATCGTAGGCCATGTTTAACAGATTTTGAATTTTATTTTTTTCGGTGAACATGATCAAAAATATAGAAATTTTTTAGGGTTTTGAATATTTTTGTGATTTGCCATGGTTTGATAATTTTTAACCAATGGCCATAGTCAAAGTATTGAGATTTTAGCGGTTTAAAATTTAAAAATTTAAAAAGTAAAATTTTTTTTTTAAGTTTAAATTTTTTTTTTTTGTCAAAATATTGAGATTTTGTCGGTTTAAAATTTCTTTGTCATTGACAATGGTGTTTTAATTGTTGGCCAAGGTTTCAAAGTATGGCTCAAAGTTTGATTACATTGACTATAGTCATTAGCAATATTTTGCAAGAATTTTTCATTTTTCTGTTTCCTTGCGGGTGTTTATAATTTTTGGAATAAAAATACAGAAAGAGAATTAATTTTTATTTTAAATTATTGATTATACATAAAAAAAATCCATTATAAATCATTAAATATCATTATACACTTCATTATACATAAAAAATATTCCATAAAAACCATCTTTCAAATTTTTAATAATAAAAAAGTCACTTTTATCGAGTTGAGAATCTGTAACACAATAACATAAACTAATATTCGTTCTAATAGTTAGCTAAATAAAAAAGTAAATAGAAACGAAAATAAAATTTTCTGTTCAAGGCTTAAGAAACACTCTAAATAAAACTGTCCTCTTTGTTCAAAATCGAGGGAATTCTCAAGAGGCAATAAAAAATGAGAAGAAAGAAAAAAATCTCTCTTATCTCTATCATCCTGGTTTTGTACCATTAATGGATATAACAACTGGCGAATTATTTGAGACAGCCGCTGAAAAATGGCCAAATCGAGAATGCATTTTTTCTGTTCATCAAAAAATTCGTCTAACTTACGCTGAAGTCTATCGAAGGGCAAATATGCTTGCGGCTGGTTTAAAAAAATTGGGATTAAAAAATGGCGATCGCCTTGGTTTATGGGCACCGAATGATATTGAATGGTTCATTGGATACATAGCTTCAGTTAGATTGGGTTTAATAATGGTTGGCATTAATCCTGGCTATGAGGAAAATGAAATTGAATTTTGCTTGAAGAAAGTACAAGTGAAAGCAATTATTGCTCCCGAATTATTTCGAAGGAAAAATTATGCCAATATTCTTCTTCAGTGTAAAGAAAAATGCCCATTTTTGGAGCATATTATTATTTATTCGGAAAATCATGTGAGGTATGTATATATTCTATTTTTAAGATAAGAATTTAAAATGAATTCGTTACAATGGTAAAAAATATGAAATGAAAATACAAATAAATAAAGGAAAAAATAAATTTAAAAAAAACTTTCTATTAATAAGGGGTAATTAATTTTAAATGTCTAGAATTTCTTCTAAGTATGTTTCTAAGAATTGCAATTCAATTGCATCCACTTTGCATATATTACTACAGATGGATATTATTCGAGGAATTTTAATCGGAAACGGAAAAGTTTATTGAATAAAATTATTCTCTAATGTTTATTATAAATTTTCGTAGTACAGTGTTACGGAGTTTAATGATCTGGGGTTTTTGCCAAACGTGACATATATTTTCTTGATTATACAATAACAATATACGATAATGTCGAAGGGACGTTGAATCGCATAATAATTCTCTCTTGTTGACTTTTAACGTCAAACTACCCACACCCATGCTGCCGGCGCTGATTCATGAATATCGCGTGCAACATCGCGTAAAATAACTGACGGAAAACTCTATATTCTCAAAGAATTGGGTTAAATGAACGAATCTCTCTCTTTGATATGCTTTCAGAATCGAATCTTTTACAAATATGACTTTTTTTATACAGTCACGTTTCTCTGATATAAAAATCTAAACATCTAAACATTTAAAAATCTAAAAATCTAAAAAACTAAAAATTTAAAAATTAAGAATTAAAAATAATCATATAGGGTAAGTGCGGGTATAGTCGGACAGTACTAGTAGTCGGACACTTTCGTGTTTTTTGTCAAATAAATAATAATGCATTGTGATAATTACTTTAAAAAGTATACTAGACGAATGTGTGAAGTTTATATTTTATTAAAATAGTGTTATTTTCGAAAATAATTAAACAAGAAATATTTTATTTAATGTTTTAAAAATCATGGTGTCCGACTATAGATACAACCATTTTCGAGTAGCGCGATGAGTGGCACAAAGTTTTGTTGATAATTAATCATAAATATTAAAACTTATAGGGTTTAAATATTATATTAATAACTTCTAATTTGCTTTAATTCCATTTTCCAGCAGATAGCAATTAAAAAATTATCTGTTTTACTTTATAAATCCAAAATATCTGACAGATGTCCGACTATAGAAACAAGGGGAAAAAGTGTCCGACTACTAAAGCATTCGTAATTTTTTATTAAAATGTTTATATTTTATTAAATACTCAACTATTTGTAACAAATTTATATGATTTTTAATCCTGAAGAACTCCTTTAATTAATAATGTGCTTATAAACACAGTAGATATTTGCTATTTCAAGAAAAAAACCATAATTTAAGATTGTATCCTTAAGTGTCCGACTACTAGTGCATTTACCCTATACAAATTTTTACCAGTGGAATTTTTACTATTCTTCATTATTGAAATTTTTTTTTCGTAAAAAAAATAAATAAAAATATTTTCGAAAACTTTTTAACAGCAAAAACATGTTTTAACTCGTTAAACATTTTTTCTTTTAGAAAATTAAAACGTGTAAAATGCCAGGAGAGTAATTTAAATTGAATCAATTGAATGCAATGACTGGCGATTTTTTAAAAAGGGATTATAATTTTTTTTTTGTCGGGGAAAGTTTATTTAAACAGTGAAATAGAATGAAATGGGCATTTTTTTCTAAATAAACACACAAATGAGTTGGATTAATTTCCTGTTAAAATTGAGAAAAGTAATGTATTTCTATTTGTACAACCTTGTAAGGAACAATGAGAAAAAAATTCAATTTTTATAAACTTTATAAAGCTTTATTATCAGATTTCTTGATTTTTTGTTGTTGTTGCATTATCTTTGTCACGGTTACTAAATCTTAAAGTGTTTATTTGCTGATTACTTTTCAAGGTATACGGAAATTAGATTCAATTTAGGTCGCGTTTTATAAAAAAAAAAATACTGGATGAACTTAACGTCTACCTGCCAATTTGTTAATGAGAAAAATCTAGATTGTGATTTTCAACTTCAGTCATATTTTATAGTGATATTTAATGGATAATTTCAGGATAATTAATTTGATAACAATTTTTATTTATGAAAAATTTATTTTTATAATAAATTTAACTTGTAGTGTATTAATTAATTAACAAATTACATTTATGGAAAATTAATTTGATAACAAATTGAATTTATAGCAAACTAATTTAATAAATTAAATTTGTAGCAGATTAATTTAATAACAATTATTAAATTTAAGAAAAAAGTAAATTTGTAGCAAATTAATTATATTGGAAATTAATTTGATAACAAATTAAATATATAGCAAACTAATTCAATAACAAATTCAATTTATAGTAAACTAATTCAGTATCAAATTAAATTTATAGCAAATTTACTTTCTGGAAAATGAATTTTGCAGTGAATTAAATATATAGCAAATTAATTTAATAAAAAGTTCAATTTGTTGTAAACTAATTTAGTATCAAATTAAATTTGTAGCAAATTAATTTAATAACAAATTCAATTTGTAGTAATACTGATTTAATAATAAATTCAATTTATAGTAAACTAATTTAATAACAAATTAAATTTATAGTAAAAAGTTTAGTAACAAATTAAATGTGTATCAAATTTATTTTGTAGCAAACTAAATTAAATTTAATAACTATTTAAATTAATAAAAAAATAATTTTATTGCAAATTATTTTATAGCAATTTCATTTTGTAGAAAATTTACTTTCTGTAATTTTGTTGTAAACTAAATTAATTAATTTGATAACAAATTCAATTTATTATAAACTAATTCCTTAACAAACTAAATTTATAGCAAATTAACTTTGTAGCAAATTTACTTTCTAGAAAATTAATTTTGTAGCTAATTAATTTTTTGGCAAATTAATTTGATAACAAATTGAATTTATAGCAAACTAATTTAATATCAAATTCAATTTATAGTAAACTTATTTAGTATTAACTTTGTAGCAAATTTACTTTCTGGAAAATTAATTTTGCAATGAATTAAATATATAGCAAATTAATTTAATAACAAATTTAATTTATTGTAAACCATTTTAGTAACAAATTAAACTTATATCAAGTTAATTTTGTAGCAAATTAATCAATTTAATAAATTCAATTTATAGTATACTAATTCAGTAACAAATTAAATGTATAGCAAATTAACTTTGTAGCAAATTAATTTTGTACCAAATTAATTTTATAGCAAACTAATTTAAGAACAAATTAAATTTATAGTAAACAAATTTTGTAACAAATTAAATTTATAGCAACTTTATTTTGTAGAAAATAATTTATTGGCAAAATTAAATTTGTAACTAATTAATTTTTTGGCAAATAAATTTAATAGCAAACGTAATTTTTAGCAAAGCAATTTTTTAGTATAATATAAGAACAAATTCCCTAAATATATAAAGACTTTTTCAAAAATTCAAAATTGTTACCAAAAATAACCATTTTTTTGTACAAAAATTATCTAAGTATTTTTTTTTACAAAAAGAGGTACTCGACTTTTAACTGACGTGGTGAATTTACCAACAAAAAAAGATATTGAAGAAATTTGTAAAGAACAAAAAACAATTTCACCTAACGATGGCAGTAATATTCAATTTACATCGGGAACAACTGGAAAACCAAAAGCAGCATTTTTGAGTCATAGAGCGCTAGTAAATAATTCACGACAGGTGGGAAATTGTAAATGTAATACATTTATATTAATATATCAAAATGTTTCATTGAAAAGATATTATGTAAAAAACAAAAAAATAGGAGAAAAAAAAATTGTTGAAGGTAATGATTATATTTTAAAATTTATTTTTCAGGCAGCTGAACGTTTTGAATTGCACGATAATAATCATAAAATTTGTGTAAATGTACCATTTTTTCATGCATTTGGAATGATAGCGCAAACATCCGCCTGGCATTCGGGAACAACATTAGTTCTTCCAGCGCCAACATATAATCCAGTCAATTCTTTGGACGCAATTGTCAATGAAAAATGTTCTGGTATTTATGGTACTCCAACAATGTGGGTGAGATATTTGGTTGAAAGGAGAAAAAACATTTTTTTTTCATGCTTACAAAATGTAATTTTTATTACAAAACAATAACTAATAATTAAAAAAAAATTTAATTTTAATGAAAATTAAGAATTTAAAATAAAAATTTCTAATTTTTAATTAAAATCAAATAATTTTTATTTGTATCTAATAATTTTTAATTGCATCAAATAATTTTTATTTATATCAAATAATTTTTATTTATACTCTCATAAATTAAATCAGTGAAAATTTACTAATTCAATTTAAGAGAGTAAGTCACAATTAAAATGGTATTTGCTTCAAATACTAAAATTATAGTTCCAAATATGATTTATTTGATTCGATTATAAAACGCTTTTTATTCAAACATATTTGTTTGGTTCACCATTTATATTATAATTAAACAAATAACTATTTTCTCCAGTATAATAAATAATGTTTTGTATCATTATAACTTATAAATAATAATAATTCTGGGCAATTTTGAAATATTATAATAATTCAGGGTTGCCACAGGAAAAAAGTCAGGGATTATTTTCAAAAATTTTAACGAACATCTCGTCAAGAATTTAATTTTCTTTATAAATAGCAAAAATTTTCACCAAAAATTCAATTATTTTCAAAAAATTTAAATAAAATTCTTTGCAAAATTTCAATTATTTTCAAAAGTTTTTCGCAATTCAGTGATTTTTAATATTTACTATTTTCATAAAAATCAAAAAATGTAATTATTGAAAAAAAAAATTTTGATACAATTCTACGAAAACATTCAATTACATATTTTCATAAATAATAAAATTTCTTTTAGGATTTCAATTATTTTCATCGCAGAATTTCAAATATTTTTAAACAATTTTAAATAAATTCCTCGAATAATGTAATTATTTTTAAAAAAATTATTAAAACTCGACGAAAGATTTCAATTTTTAAAAAAAATATTCAATTATTGAATAAAATAATAAAATTCGTTGCAATAATTCAATTAATTTAATAAATAACTTTTAATTCGTCGCAGAAAAACAATTATTTTTTAAAAAGATTTAAGTAATTCTGCAAAAGAATTCAATTCTTTTGAAAATTCATAAAATACTTTGCAGAAATTTAATTATTTTCAAAATTTATGAAAAATTCTCTTTAAGAATTAAGTTAGTTTTATAAATTGGTAGCGAAATTCTTCTCAAGAAGTCAATTATTTTTAAAAATTTTAATTATTTAAACAAAATTTAATAAAATTCTTCGCATGAATTACAATTATTTTCATAAATTATTATTTAAATTCATTTTATGAATTCAATTGTTTTTAAAAATTGTAATAAAACTCTTCAAAAGTTTTCAATTATTTTTAAAAATTGTGATAAAATTCTTTAATTCAATTAATTTCTGTAAAATTTGAACTAATTTCCTTAAAAGAAATTAATTATTTTCAAAAGTTGTTAATAAAATTCTTCATAAAAATTAAATTTTATGAAACATTCAATTATTCAATAAATAATTTATTTTTGTATCTTATTTTTAAATAATTGAATTCTCGTAGAATTTTCTAATAAAAATTTATTTCAAAATGAATTTCGGTTAAAAGGCCGTAGCAGTATAAGCATGTAAAAATGGCCCCCTCTTGGATTGGGTCCATATTTAGGGAATAATTTTGACCTATTGTGAGACTTATTTTCACCAAGTTTTAACTCGAAAAAAACTTTTGTTTTTGAGTTATACAATTTTTTTGAAAAATTCAAAAAAATTCAAAAAATTTTTTTCTCTCCGAAATGGTTGAACCGATTTTCATGAAAAAATTTTTTTTGTACAATACAATATGAACAGTTAATAAAAAAAAATTTTCGACCAAATTCTAACAAAGAAAGTCAGTAAAAAAAATTTTTTTTTAAATTTTTTTTTATTGAAATTTTTTTGCACATCCGCCATTTTTTTTCTATAAAATAATAGTCATTTCAAGAGTAACATATATTTTTTGCAAGATGATTGAAAGGGTACTTCATACTTTAAAAAATAAAAAACCGATTTTTGGCCCCTAAATAGGACAGTTTTCTATATAAACGAGGGGCCAACATTTTTTAAAATTACATTAAAAATTAATTAATACTTAAATTAAATTTCTAAAAAAGTTAATAATATATGCCTGTTTATTGTAAATATTGATTTTTTAGTCAACTTTTCAAAAAAATTTACAAAAAAAAAATTATTTTTGAAGTTTTTTCAACTTTGGCATATTTTTTAATAATTGTAGAAAAAAATTGAAATTTACATAGGTTTAAGTTTTATCTTGAACTTAAGACTAAAAGAGTTTAAGATTTTAAGTTTGATTTAAACAAAATTTTTTTGCATCAAATAAATCGTTTTCTCAGTGATTGACATGTTTTTGGGCCGTGCGCGTGCAGCCCTACCGGTAATTCCCGACGGTAGTGTACGTCCATTTACTTTTTTAATAAACCTTGTACATACTAAAAAATCAATATTTACAATAAACAGGCATATATTATTAACTTTTTTAGAAATTTAATTTAAGTATTAATTAATTTTTAATGTAATTTTAAAAAATGTTGGCCCCTCGTTTATATAGAAAACTGTCCTATTTAGGGGCCAAAAATCGGTTTTTTATTTTTTAAAGTATGAAGTACCCTTTCAATCATCTTGCAAAAAATATATGTTACTCTTGAAATGACTATTATTTTATAGAAAAAAAATGGCGGTTGTGCAAAAAAAATTTCAATAAAAAAAAAATGTTTTTTAAAAAAAAATTTAAAAAAAATTTTTTTTTACTGACTTTTTACTGACTATCTTTGTTAGAATTTGGTCGAAAATTTTTTTTTTATTAACTGTTCATATTGTATTGTACAAAAAAAATTTTTTCATGAAAATCGGTTCATCCATTTCGGAGGGAAAAAAATTTTTTGAATTTTTTTGAATTTTTCAAAAAAAATTGTATAACTCAAAAACAAAATTTTTTTTTTCGAGTTGAAACTTGGTGAAAATAAGTCTCATAATAGGTCAAAATTATTCCCTAAATATGGACCCAATCCAAGAGGGGGCCATTTTTACATGCTTTTACTGCTACGGCCTTTTAGATAATATTTGAATATTAAAAGCATTACTAGCAATTCTGAATAATGTTAATAAAATTTCATTTTGTATAAAATAATATTTTAAAATAATTGTCTGCAGGTGCAACTTATTGATGTCACTAAGCGAGTTGGCACCTATTTCAATCATATTACAACTGGAGCGGTTGGTGGTTCACCATGTTCACAAGAACTTCATCGAAGAATAAAGGACACTTTCAATTTAGATCGATTGAAGGTAATTTTTATAATAATAATTATGTTATATATTATATATTTTATTATTTTTATTATATTTATATATGTTTTATTATATTTATTATATCATAAATTTTATAGTCTGTATACGGATTGACGGAAACGACAGCAGTTGTTTTTCAAACTTTACCAAACGAAAAAAGAGAACTTACAGAGACTACTGTTGGACATCTTTCAGATCATATAGAAGTTAAGGTTGGGTATTTTTTAATAATTTTTAATTTCCCCTAAATTATTTTATCAAAGAATAGAGTAATTTTATATTTTTATTAGATAATGGACGAAAATGGTTCAATTGTTCCAATGGGAGTAGGGGGAGAATTATGGGTTCGTGGTTATGCCAATATGATTAGTTATTGGGAGGATGAGGAGAATACCAAAAAAATGTTAACTGAAGATGGCTGGCTAAAAACTGGCGATCAGTTCATTTTAAAACCCGATGGTTATGGACAAGTTGTTGGAAGATTAAAGGACATGATTATCCGGGGAGGGGAAAATATTTTCCCCAAGGTAATTTTTATTAAGAATATGTGATATTTGCTTTGGAAAAAAATGTTTTACTTTTTTTTTCTTGAAAATATCAAATTGATACAAAAATTTAGATCAATTTTTTATTTGATCCACATTTTGGTATCAATTTGATATTTTCAAGACAACTACTTTTTAATTTAATTAATAGGAAATCGAAGACTTTTTGCAAACACATCAAGAAATATTGGAAGTTCATGTGACTGGAATAAATGACGATGTTTATGGAGAAGAAGTTTGTGCGTTTATTAGATTAAAAGGGGGATCGAAATTAACAGCAGAAGAGTTGCGTAATTGGTGTAAGGGAAAAATTGCACATTTCAAAATTCCAAAATATTTTGAATTCAGAAATTCATTTCCATGTACGAGCAGTGGGAAAATAAGGAAATTTGTACTCAGGGACGAATATGAAGCTGAACTTGCGTCTAAATGAATGTAACAAACAATGTAAATTTTCGAAAATTGGTTACTTTATTGTAAAGAAGTAAAAATCGTTCTTGTCAAATTTCCATTTTTGCAGAAGAGAAGTTTGAAAAATGAAAATAATTATTTTTATAAATTATTTTTGGTTTTAAGTAATCCATTATTAATACATAAAAACCCCCTAGAGCGTTGTTTGCTTTTGTATTTATGTAATTTTTTAAAAAATAAAATTACGAATTTTTTTAGAGATTATCAGAGATTTTTTCTAAAGGAATGAAATATAGTTTTTGAATAATAGTTAGTTTTTCCCTGTTACAGAGAAAAACTCTCAAAAATTAATTTCAAGATTTCAATGCAATTATTTTCTAGAAGAATATAACTAAAATTTTTCTTTAATTCAATTATTTTTTGAAATTTTTTGAGAAAAAATATGGTTTATTATGTTTATTATTTATTTATTGTATGTTTATTATTATTATTATGGTAAATAAATAAATAAATAAATAAAGTTACTTAAAAATTCATTAATTAAAAAAAATTTCATCTAAAACTAAAATATTTCTAAAATCCACTTGTTTACAAGACAATTTCATTAAATTTCGAATAATTTGAAAATATCTCAATTAATAGAATTAAATATACCTATATTTTAAAATATAACCAATTTCAAAAAAATGTGAATAAAAATGTTTCAAAAAACTTATTCAGAATTTTAATTAAAATTTTCTAAAATTGGTCAGAAAATATTCTGACTCTTTTTGGATTTTTATTTTTCATAAGAATTAATAGATTTTAAAATCTATCCATGATTTTGTAGAAAATATGTTTTTTTATTCAGAAAAAAATTGACGAATGAAAAAAATGATTTTTATTATTTTTTGAAGCATTTTTTTTTAAACAAAAAAAAACCTAAAAACCATGATTTTTTTAAGGTTGAAACTGCTTAAAAAACGTGTTCATTCTTCTAACTAATTTCAAATCATAATTTTTTAAATAAAAAGTATAAAATACAAAAAAATTATGATAAAATTAAGTTTTGAAATTAGTTAGAAAAGTAAACAAGTGAATTTCCATATAAAAAATTGAATAAAAATGATTCTTTTTAGCATTTTTAACCTAAAAGCAATGTTTTTTTGTTGAAAATGCTTCAAAAATAATAAAAATCACTTTTTTTCATTCGGCAATTTTTTTCTACCTATAGAAACATATTTTCTACAAAATTACGGATGGGTTTTAAAATCTATCAATTTTTAAGAACAATAAAAATTCAAAAAGGGTCAGAATATTTTTTTAACGATTTTATTTTCTGACCATTGCAAAAATAGTTTTTTAAAAATTTATTTTCTAAGAAAAACAAAATTTTATTTATTTTAATGTCTCATTCTACTTATAGAATCAAAAAATTAATTTTTAGAAATTTCGTATCACTTTTATTCTAATTAGTTCAAATATTTACAAATTCAAGGTAAAAGGGCATAGTCCTGTTTACTACAATAAATAAATAAAAATTCAAATTTGTAGAATAAGTTTTGTAATAATTATTATGGCAAAAAAATGTATAAAGTAATTTATTTTTACTATTTTATTCTATGTGAAATTTTTTCTATTTTACATAAATTATAATAAATTAAATATTCAGTTTTCCTATATAGTTGTTCATAAATTTTTTTATAAAAAAGCTCAACTTTTATAAAATTCATTTATTTTTTGAATTTTTAAATAAAATTATTATTCGTAAAATTATATTTAAAATAAATTCAATTTCAAATCAGTAAAGTTCAATTATTGTTAGAAATAGAAAGAATTTAAAATAAAATTGAATATTTTCTTTTTTTTAAGGCTGTTGCGTTGGGCAAGAAAATTCAGAATATTGTTTATAAATTCTAGAAATTAAATATTTTTTCAGTACTTTTGATAAAATTACCTGACTTTTCCCTGAATTAGTCCTTATTTCCCTGATCTGTGACAACCCTAAAAATGTATTTTTAATATTTTTTATAAAATAAAACTCCGAACGAAAGTTAAATAGGTACATTCCATTTTCAATTTTTCAAACGTCGACTAGCGGTCGGAATTATCAACTAACCTCTCTAAACAGTAGATACAAGTACAACACGTGTAGTATGCGAATGACAACACTCGAAATATATAATTCTGAAAATCATCTCCTTTGTTAAATACAGTAATCAATATTATTATTTAATTTGATAAAAATCCCGAATAGAAAAGAGTGTATAAATAAAAGTTTTTACCGAGAACTAACCAAAATATTCATAAGTAACAGAAAACGGTGAACATAACCTAAAAATTGACTACTGTCACACAACGATCCAAATAAATTTTTAATGCAATTGAAAAGAGTACTTTGTAAATAATTGCCAAAAATGACTGATTCAGAAAGTGAGGATATTGCAAAAACCAATGGACCAGTGGAAAATGCGTGGGCATTGAAAGTTCCAACCTTCAAACCCGAGGACAATCCACATCGTCTCTTGGAGGAAAGTTCGTTTGCTACACTTTTTCCAAAATATCGAGAACATTATTTAAAGCAATGTTGGCCATTAGTGCAAAAAGCACTCACTGAACATTGCATTAAAGCAGAATTGGATCTTATTGAGGGTAGTATGTCCGTTAAAACAACGAGAAAAACATGGGATCCTTATATTATCGTCAAAGCTCGTGACATGATTAAATTGATAGCACGCTCTGTGCCATTCGAACAGGCCGTTAAAGTTCTACAAGACGATCGTGGCTCTGATATTATAAAAATTTCCTCCTTAGTCAGAAACAAGGAGAAATTCGTTAAAAGACGACAGAGGTTAATTGGACCCAATGGATGTACCCTGAAGTCAATTGAATTGCTCACTGATTGCTATGTTCTTGTTCAGGGAAACACTGTCTCAGCCGTAGGTCCATACAAAGGATTACAACAGGTAAAAAAATCTTTTTATAATAAAATATTATATACATAATACTTCTTAAATAAATACTTTTATTAATATTACAAATACTTTATTTCAATAGGTACTATTTTATTTCATTTCAACTTTATATTTAAATGATCCCACAGAATATGACTCAAAGTCAACTTTTTTTATATTCCCAAACTTACACAAAAAAAATCAACTTCATAAATTCTGCAGGGTTCTTTAAATTGAAACTATTATTTAAAAAAAATGTTAAACTAATAAATAATTATTTTAGGTGAGACGTATCGTGGAAGACAACATGAAGAACGTGGTTCATCCAATTTACAACATAAAGGCTTTATTCATCAAGCGAGAACTATCGAAAAATCCAACACTCAAGAATGAAAATTGGGAGAAATATTTGCCAAAGTTCACGACGAAAAATATCAGTAAACGAAAGCAGCCGAAGAATAAGAAAATTAAAAAACCATATACACCATTCCCACCGGCGCAGGAGGAGAGAATTATCGATAAACAATTAGCGTCTGGAGAATATTTCCTCACTAAAGAACAAAAGCGCTCTAGGGCCAAGAAACAATTGGATAAGAAGCACGAGGAAGCAACGAAAAAACGCGAGGAGAAACGTGCCGAAGCTTTTGTACCGCCAGAAGAAAGTGCAAAAACAAACGAGGAAAAGAAGAGGGACTTCAATGTCAATCAATTTAAGGACAAAGTTAAAAAAAGTTTTAAGAAACAAAAGAAATCTTAATTGTAGACAATTGTCAGTGATATTTGGAAGGTGATCAATTTAAAAAAATTTATTTTATTAAAAAATAAAGAAATTACGGTTTAACACAGTCCGCAACCTAAAAACAATTGTCTTTATTTTTCCGGAAAATAAATTTTCGTAAATTGATAACCTACTAATTGTATTATAGAGCTATAATATCTAAAAATAGTTGACGGGAAAAAACAGTCGAGTCCCTTTACAGTTGACTTCGTTTATATTTTACAATTTAAAATAAAAATATAAATTTTCTATTTCGTAAATACATTTCTTATTATTAACTATACAAGTGTTTTCTATAAATATTTTTAAACAATATTTTTAAATAATAATTTTTATTAATAATAATAATTAGTATTTAAAAATGTTGGTCAACCACGAAAATTCTAAATATTTATAATTATACATTTTTGCAAATTATTAGTAATGATTATTAATTATTAATAATTATTGACTTGGAGTAATAGTTAACTTTCAATTTTAATAATAATTATTATAATTTGCAAAAATATAATTGTAAATATTTTGAATTTCCGCGGTTGAAATTAGCGCCACCTAACAACGACTTCCCTAAACTTCAAGAATTTTACTGCTGGGTCGATAAATTACCATGAGACTTGGTTCGTGTTTCAGTATTTTGTCGCCAGATGTCACTAAATTTATCCACGAAAATTTAAATTTTCTTTATTGAATTTTAAAACTTCAATAAATAAAATTCCAGTCGTCGAGTGCATTAAAAGAATCATTGATAAAAAATGGTTCAGTATTATTTAGTAATATCCTAACTATAGTTAGGTTTTGGAAAACCAAATCGTAAAAAAATCAAGAAGTTCTGCAGATAATCTGTCTGGGTGCGTCAGGAGGATCATCGATTTTATGTGAGTAAAGTTAATTAAATTTTAAAATAAAAATTTTAATGGTAATTTATAATTAAATTATAATTAATTATAATTTTTTAAATTTTTAAGTTAATTTTAATGTTAATTTAAAATTAAATTTTTAAGTTAATTTAAAATTAAATTTTTAAGTTAATTTTGATGCTAATTTAAAACTAAATTTTTTAGTTAATTTTAATGTTAATTTAAAATTGAATTTTTAAGTTAATTTTAATGTTAATGTAAAATTTAATTTTTAAGTTAATTTTGATGTTAATTTAAAATTGAATTTTTAAGTTAATTTTCATGTTTATTTGAAATTAAATTTTTAAGTTAATTTTGATGTTAATTTAAAACTAAATTTTTTAGTTAATTTTAATGTCAATTTAAAATTGAATTTTTAAGTTAATTTTAATGTTAATGTAAAATTTAATTTTTAAGTTAATTTTGATGTTAATTTTAAATTAAATTTTTAAGTTAATTTTAATGTTAATTTAAAACTAAATTTTTTAGTTAATTTTAATGTTAATTTAAAATTGAATTTTTAAGTTACTTTTCATGTTTATTTAAAATTTAATTTTTAAGTTAATTTTAAATTAGCCCTCGGAGAAAACATGGGGTCATTCTGACCCCACATTTTTTTACGAAAAGCTTTTTATCTATTGTTTAATTTATTTTTATAAAGATTTTAAAGTATATTACAGACTTACTTTACAGAGTTTAAACTATATTTAAAAAAATTCTTCAGCTTGATCAGATGAACAGTTAAAAATTGGTTGAGCTTTGAAAAATGATCTAAAAAAGAAGTGTGTTCTCCGGAGGTTAACATTAAAATTTTTATTAAGTAAAAAAATTAAGTAAGAGTAAAGTATCGTAGTAAAGTTTATAAAACAGCAAAGGTGTCGGATAATTAAATACTGAAAAAAATAATTTTCTGGAAATATCCATAGTTTTATTAAAAAAAGGCCTATTAAGTATAATTATTATTATGATAGAGTTTTTTTTATCATAAACATATCCATAATATACATGTTCATTATTCAACTATTATGATACACTTTTTTTTTCTTACGAAGTACAAGCAATTCATTATTCTTAATAAAATCTTTCATCTCTTATTATACAATTCCAATGTCAGTAAATGCAAAAAAATATTCATATATAAAGCGGATTGATTTTATAAAAAATTCTAAGAATAATAAAAGTAAAAATGACTTTAAAAAAAGTAAATTAAAGTACATATAATAAAAATTGTTATCTAAAAATTAAGAATAATGTCACTGGTAGACAATGTACAAGTATTTAAAAATTCTATGCTTCAAGGAATCGTCTCTGCACGTAATAAAACCTCTTTTTGATATACATCGATATTAACATTAATGAATTTTCTAGTGCACATGCTTTCACGATATTCCTACTCTTTTTTTTACATTTTTTCGTAATTTTGGAAGTACAATGCTTTTTTTTATTATAATTAGAGAATAATAAATCTATGTATTTACAATTATTATGCAACTGGTTACGATGTCATTCGTCATTTATAATAAAATTTTACTAATTAACAAATCACTTGGTTTTCAAACTTATGTAATTCAATTCTTTTATTCTTTCATTTTCAAATATATATTTCAACAGGTAAAACATAATTTTATTGAATATTTAAATATTTAGATTTTATTGAAACTCATTTTACCATAAAATTTATTTTCTTTCTCGGAATATTTGAAAAGAATGAAAGAAAGAAAATAATGAATTACCAAGAATGTTAAAACTACTGTTTTAAGACATTAATTAACAACTTACGAAAAATTTAAACATTAAAGTCTAGGGGAATTTAAAACATTTAATTTTTACAACAAAAAAATGTATATTTTGTAAATAAAATTTAAAAATTTAGTAGTTAATACTGAAACAAATTAAAATTGGAGCTGAATAATTAAAATTATTTGGAAAAAAGATAATTAAAATTGTTTCGATATTTTGATAACAAAATTGAAATATTAAGTCTTAATCGTTATTTTGTGTCTTAACAAGAAGATGCCGCAGGTATAAAATTCTAATGTGTACAAAAACTAATATTTCACAACAATTTGTAAAATATTCCTATACGAATTTGAGTGCGTGGCTGTATCGGACATTTTTTTATTAATTTGTTTAAACATATTTTTTTTCATGTGAAAATTCCACTGACTCTTTTTTAAAATAATTCAAAAAGAATTTTGATATTTTCCTATGCTCGTAAAAAATACCTTGGAATGGTAATTCTCTTTTTTTCACGAAACAACCAACTTATATTTATGAGTATAAAATTATAAAAAAGTTATAATAGAAAATTAGAAAATTAAAAAAATTAAAAAAATTATTTTCTAAAAAGAAATTTAACAAATAACAAAAGAAAGTAAAAAAATAAATTTTTTATACAAAAACAATTTTTTAAATTATTACAATAAAAATTTTAAAATAAAATTCTATTTTTCTTTTGGAATAAAAGTAAAATAAAGCGCCTTATTCATGATCGTGTAAACGGACACAGCCAGGCGTTTAGTAAAAATTACTAATATGTATTTTAAAATACGCACAGCGTGATTTCAAATATTTATCACTTCTTTTTTTTGAAATATAGATTACATGTTTTAAATCATTGTTTAAAAAATCCTTCTGTTCACTACAATTTGATGTTATGGTTTAAATATTATAATATGCGAGAAATTTATTCTCCTTTTAAGCTGTCGATATTCATTCCAACATTCACACAACCAAGTAAATGTACAATTTATATTTTGTAGAAAATACAAAAATAATTCTCTGTTTTGATACAATTAGTTTTGGGTCGACTAAAAGTATGTACGTACCTCATGAAAATTAAAATGAGGTGAATAAAAATTGGAAAATAGTTTTTCTTCAAAAAAAAAAATTTGAATGATATTTGTTTAATCAATATTGTACAATATAATCGACTTATTAACCAATTGTTAATTAAAGGAAATTTTAATTTTATCTGAATTTGATGAACTGAATTTTTATTTTCAGACAATTATATTGTACAACAATAAAAATTATTTAATTTTTGATTTTCGATTCAGAACATGATAAAAATTTGATGTACAGTCTTGTAAATAATTTACTAAATTACGATCGATTTTTCTTCATAATTCTGCTTTACAATCTCACGAGAGCAAAATTATTAATTCGTAATTAATATTTTCTTCTCTTTTTAATACGTTATTAAATTTTTCATACAATATTTTCTTTACTAATGAAATTATTTATTGTGAATAATTTCTCTAAAGACAAAATCTTATTTTAACGTTCACTTCATGTTGAAGTTCAATCAAGGAATTCTTTATCAGAAACTAAAAATCAATTACCTATGGAAAATAAGTAGAAAACTTGAAAATATTAAGTACTGGCATAATGTTTTTAAAAATTAAATTGTGCTTAAAATCTTCAACGAATGGAAGTACTTTTTCTTTAAATGCTTTTGAAGTTGAGGGGCTTCTTTGTCTTTGGCATTCGCATTTTTTTTTTTCGTTTTTAGTCTTCGTATTATTTTGTGAAACCGCTTTGTTCCAAGTTTGCGAACACATTCATTATTACTATTTACAATAGGAGCAGAAAAAGCAGATTTAATGGCTTTTAGATTGCGTTATGCATAATATACAATCGATATTCGTAATTGTCAATTATTAATTCCAATATTCAATATGTCAGTAATTCAATTCCAGTCTCAATATTTTAAACTCGAGAGCTAAAATTTTATGTTGACTCTGCGAAAAGGGATCAAGGAAAAATTAAAATTATCATAAACTTAAATTTAATAGAATTTCAGTTCTTATTTCTTTTGAAAATTTGTAATTTTTATTTAATCTTAATAAATGACTGCTTAAAAATATTATAAGATTTGTTTAGAGAAAAGAAAATTGACATTTGTTGTAAGATTAAATAAAAATTATTCCTTTTTTCCCCATAAATTAAATGTTAAAAATTATTTGTAAAACTGAATTCAATTCGATTTTCGAACTGATATTTTACAATTTTCACAAGCTCCTTTCGTTCTCTTTACAGTCAATATAATACAGAGATCAACGATCGGACGTCATCACTTTATTTTTATATCTTTTCAGAAAAAAAAACAAATTTTCTGAAAGAAATTGTCACCAGTTTTCCTCTCGAGACTCTTTTTCATTCAGTATTGACACAATTCCTATATATAGTCACATTCCGGTTTATTATCACTTTTTATATAATAAATTTCTATCGTGACACGAAAAAATAACAGTTTTCTATTTCGATTCAGCGTATTTCTTTTATATTATAAAGAAATAATGCTACTCAATTTTTTTTTTTTGCGTGTCAAAAGAAATTTTTCTTTTTTTTGAGTCTTTTGTGGTCCACACTTACTTGAATTAAAAATTTAATGGCCGTGATTATAGAGATGCCACCTTTGACTCTCTAAATTTGAATCACATTTTTCTGCAGTTATTCCACGTTGCGCGTGATATTTTGTATCTATACAAACTGGAATTCTCGAATGGCTTATAAGACCACCCTCAAGGTAGCGCCATTTTTGGTTTTCACTACCGTCGCAAATTTGCATAAGAAGCGTTGTTCCTTTAGCGTAAGTGGTTAGAGTTAAACACAAGTCGTGGTGCTTAATGAGACCGTCTTTTGTTAGTGACCATTCCTGAAATAATTAAATTTTTCGTAGTTGATAATTAGATGGAAATTTTTTAAAATGTAGAAAAAAGGCTAAAGTTCAACAGTAATTTGTATTTTTATTTTTGTTTCAGATGTATGGAGTTTAAGAAAGAAGAAGAAGAGGAATTTAAATTAGAATTAATATTTTTATTTTTGTTTCAGGTGCATCAGGAAAATCATTCAAGGGATTTTTATTATCCTAACTATAGTTAGGTGTTGGAAAACCAAATCGTAAAAAATAACAAAAATTCTGCGAATAACTATTTGAACGTTTCTGAAGGATTATCAAGTTAGAAGTAAGTAAAATTAGGTAGTTAGGACAAACGGCAAACTTTAACTACAAATTTATTTCTATTTTTGTTTCAGATCTAGAAGGAGAACCATCGGAAAAATTAGGGTTTTCGAATGTCAGATCTTAATAAACTTTTTTAATAAGTGCGCTTGGATCCGTTATAAGAATCATCGTTAAAAGTGGTTTAGTAAAAAAGACGAACTACAACTGGAATTAATGTTTTCATTTTTGTTTCAGGTGCAGCAGAAAAATCACCGAAGAGATTTTTATTATCCTAACTATAGTTAGGTTTTGGAAAACCAAATCGTAAAAAATAAATTCTAAAAATAAACTCTAGGCGTTTTCAAAGAATCATAAACTTCGAGTAAGTAAAATTAGGTAGTTAGACAAAAAAAAATTCCAACTACAAATTTATTTCTATTTTTTGTTTCAGATCCAGAAGGAGAACAGTCAGAAGAATCTTCGATTAAAAGTGGTTTAGTAATGAAGACGAACTTCAACTGTAATTCATATTTTTATTTTTGTTTCAGGAGCAGCAGAAAAATTACCGAAGAGATTTTTATTATCCTAACTATAGTTAGGCTTTGGAAAACCAAATCGTAAAAAAATAAATTCTCCGAATAATCACTTCGGGCGTTTTATAAGGATCATAAACTTTGGGTAAGTAAAATTAGGTAGTTAGACAAAAGACAAACTCCAACTACAAATTTATTTCTATTTTTGTTTCAGATTTTAGAAGGAGAATCATCAGGAAGAAGCTTCGATTAAAACAAGGTTTAGTAGAGAAGACGAATTTCAACTGTAACTAATATTTTTATCTTTGTTTCATTTGCAGCAGGAAAATTACCGACAAGATTCTAATTATCCTAACTATAGTTAGGTGTTGGAAAACCAAATCGTAAAAAACAAGAAATTCTACGAATGTATCATTTGGACGTTTCAGAAATATCATTGAATTTGAGTAAGTAAAATTAGTTAGTTAGATCCGTCAGAAGAATAATCCTAAAAAAGTGGTTAACTAAAGAAGACGAATTAATATTTTTATTTTTTTTTCAGGTACAAGAGGAAAAGCGCCGAGTAGTTAATCATGTCTTATCCTAACTATAGTTAGGTGTTGGACAACCAAATCGTAACAAAAAAATCCGAGTGCATCTCGGAAATATCAATTTAAATAAAATAAGAATTTTCTTCAATCTTCCCATTCTCCCTAATTTAAAAATTTTAAAATCACATAGAGAATTTTTATTACCTGATTTCCTCCAGTGTCGTGACAAGGATACAATCCAACATTTCCATCCAGAAGATGTCCCATACTATCTAGACAAGCTGATCCCTGCTTCAAAGCTCCTCCAGGCCCTCCCTCATTTGTAGGTATTACTAATTCAGGATAAACGTTTTTCAAATACCATCTAAATGGTTTACATTGCAATTTTCTTTTCAATTCCATTCTATCTTGAATACTGAAAAGGAAAAAGAAACATTTATTGTCGTAAAATTTACTTTAATATAAATGGTTTTCTTTCTCAGCGGACATTTTTTTCTTTTTTATTTTGCGATAATCACAAGTTGCAAAACTATTTTGAAACAAGAAAATTACATACTTTCCATAAGGAATGTTTCGCGCTAAAGGAACGGCGTTATAGTAGAACTGTTTGTAATTATCCATCCAAACTTCAGCGGCTCTTCGCGTATTTCTGGCAAATACATTTCCACTACCTCCAGGAAAGGAATAAGGGTGACGTTTTCTGAACACGTGTCCTACCCGAGAACAGGGGATAATTTCCAAGCTTCCTCCGCATTGCCAAACGCGAAACGAGATTTCTGAGAAGAAATTTACATTAATTTTGTAAATTTTCATGGAAAAGTTTTTCAATTAAAATTCAAGTATATTAAAAATTTAAATCTTATAGATAATTTCAAAGAATGCTTACATTTTAGTGATAAAATTTAATGTTGAAATCAAGTTTCGTTTGTAAGTGAATTTTAATTGATGATTGTTTTTTTCCTCCCTCAGGGAAAGATGATAAATTCACTTACCGAGATTTTCACCACCCCAAACGTCCATTTGAGTGTCGTATTTTCCGAGTTTCTCAAAGTAAGATTTATTGATGACAAAGAGTCCCCCAGCTATCATGGGTGTTCTTATCGCTTGAGTGGGATCCTTTTGCCTCGCTTGTCGTTCGACTTGACTCAAATATTCCCACTTGAAAACTAGGCTCCAATCAAAGCCACCTCTTAGATCTGCAGATGCACCTGAAAATCATGGAAGGAAAATCTTTTAAGCTTATCTCTAGAATTCTCTGTTCAGCTCTTATCTACTTGCACAACTGATGTCAACGAAATTTTATAGGCTTCAACGAACATGTGTCAATTCGCTTAAGCTGCAGTAAAGTCTCAGTTGAATAAGTCATAGATAGATAAAAGGGAACTAAAACACAATTCTACTTTCGTAGAAAAAAAAGAGTAGAGACAAAATTTCAGAAATTTTTCTTTTCCTTTGTATTTTCTTTTATAAATAAAAATACTCCAACTGAAAAAGTTCTATAGAATTTCACTAGAACGATTCTATAGTATTTCTACATGAATTCTCATAAATTTTACTAGTTTTTAATGAGAAAGAATATAAATTTTTTGAAATAATTTTTTTAACATTTTTTTAACATTATATTATTATATAGTAACAAATTATTGTAGAAATTCAATTGTTTTCCGTAAAGATCCGTAAATTTAATTCAAGTTCGTAAAAGTCAGTTTTTTTAAAAAAAGGACCGTAAAGTCCGTAATTTGATTAAAGAAGGACAAAAAGTCCGTAAATTGTACCATATAATTTGGAAAATTTTAGAGAAATTACAAATGATTGCAAAATTCAATTATATTCAAAAGTACCTAATAAAATTCTTAGCAGAAATGCAATTATTTTCGTAACAAATAAAATTCGTTGCAGGAATTCAATTACTTTTATAAATAATAAAATTTATTTATAGAATTTAACTATTTTTATAAATAATAAAATTCTTTACAGAATTTGAATTATTTTTGAAAATTTTATTAAAATTCGTCGATTTGTCGATAAATTTTTTCATTTTTGTAATTAAATAATTGAATTCTCGTAGAATTTTTTAATAAAAATTTTTTTAAAAATGAATTTCAGTTAAAATTTTAGATAATAATTGTATTTTTAATTTTTCAATTTTGATAATTGTATTTTAAAAAAGTTTAATTGAATTATTTTGAAAAAATTATTTCAAGTATTTCTTTTCTAAATATTTAATATGGAAGAATTTTCGAATAATAAAAATTTCGTAAAATTGAATTGCAAACAAATGAATTTGAAAATTCTCTAGGAACTTTTGCAAAAATTATTAAAAATAATTGAAAACTGTTCATTTATTTCTTTCGGAGAATTTTAATAAATTTTTTGAAATTAATTACATTTTTTGAAGAATTTACTCAAAATTGTATTAAAAATAATTGAAATCCTGTGAAGAATTTTATTGTTTAGGAAAATAATTGAAGTCTTGCAACGAATTTTTATTACATTTTTTTTAAATAATTAAAATCCTGTGAAGAATATTATTATTTATGAAAATAATTGAATTCTTGTAACGAATTTTATTACATTTTTTTTTTAATAATTGAATTCTTTTGAGAAATTTTATTAAAACAGTAGATTTTGAAAATATTTGAATATCAGCGAAGAATTTCATTCTTTTTTGAAATGTAATTGAATTCTTGCAAAAAATGTTTGAAAATAATTACATTTTTCGAGGAATTCATTTTAAATGGTAGGTATTAAAAATTATTTAAATCATAGGAAATTTTTTATTATTTATGATAATAATTTAATTCTTGCAACGAATTTTATTACATTTTTTTAAATAATTGATATTATTTAAAAATATGTTGAAAAAATTCTTTATGAGAATTTGAATTTTTAGAAACATTCAATTGGTCAATAAATTATTTATTTTTGTAGGTATTTGAATAATTAAATTCTCGTAGAATTTACTAATAAAAATTCATTTAGAAATGAAATTCAGTTAAAAATAAATGAATTTGAATTTTTTTTTTAAATTCTCGTCAAAATTTCAATTATCCTTATAAATAATAAAATTCTTCTCCGAAATTCAATTATTTTCAAAAATTTTAATCAAATTCTTGTCAAAATTTCAATTATTTTCAAAAACTTTCAATTATCTTTATAAATAATAAAATTATTCTCCGAAATTCAATTTTCAAAAATTTTAATCAAATTCTTGATAAAATTTCAATTATTTTCAAAAATTTTGCTCAATTAAATGATTTTTAATATCTATTATTTTCATAAAATAATAAAAATTTCACAGAAATTCAATTATTGACAAATTTTTTATAAATTTCTTCGCAATATAATTCAATTATTTTTGGGATTTAAATAATTAAATTCAAGTAGAATTTTATAATAAAAGTTGATATAAAAATGAATTTCAGTTAAAAACAAATGAATTTGAAAATTCTCAAAAACCTATTTCAAAAATTATTAAAAATAATGGATTTATACAAAAATTTAATTTTGGAGAAATTACAAATTATTGTAAAAATTCAATTGTTTTCAAGAGTAATTATTATTATTATTAAAAATTATAATTGAATTTAAATTATTAAAAATTTATTGATAAAATTTTTTATGAGAATTTAAATTTTAAGAAACATTCAACTGTTCAATAAATTATTTATTTTTGTATTTAAATAATTGAATTCTAGTAGAATTTGATAACAAAAATTGATTATCATTTCATAAAAATGAATTTCAGTTAAGATTTTAGATAATAATTGAATATTAAAAGCAATATAGCGTAAATTTTTAGAAATAATTGAATTTTGAAATTAATTTTTTTTTTAAATTGTAATTGAATTTGTTTTTTATATTATTTCAAGTTTTTATTTTCTAATATATATTTAATTGAAGAATTTACGAATAATTGAAATTTGTAAAATTGAATATTGTAAATAAATGGATTTTGAAAATTGAAGAAGAACTTTTTTGAAAATTAATTGATTTAAAGAAAGATTTTAGTGAAAAATTCTTAAAAATAATAATTGAATTAAAATGATGAAAATAATTTTGAAGAAGTACAATATATTTATAATATAAAATAATGATTTTATCAATTTGCCATTTTTAATTATTATAAAACATGAAGAAATCGATCACTTCGAGTCGAAGACTCGGAGTGATCGATTTATGTATTATTATTTATTATTATTATTATTATTATTATTATTATTATTATTTATTTATTTATTTTTTTTGCTTTATAGTTCTGAAAAAATTTTATTTATACTTTTAACTAAAATGTTCTCTTATTTGACTCGGACTGGTTATATTTTTGTTAGTAATTGGTCCGTAATTTTTCATTTTTGGTCCGTAAAATCTGTATTTTTAAATACTTTTACTGGTTCGAGCCTTGTTACTAAGTTAAATGAATTATATATATATTTAAATGATATAAACAATTTTTGCCTAAAATTTGTCGTAGAAATTAAATGTAAAATTTAATTACACAATAATATAAAGTTCAAAAATATTATTTCACGAATTTTTAATTTATTATTTAATTTAATTTTTAATTTTTAATTTTTAAATCACTAAAATTTAGTAGAATTCATGTAGAAATTCTATAAAACTTTTTCATCTGGGACCTTATCAAGAATGTAAAAATTATCTTATTTTTGGTATATAAAAGAAAACATTTTTCATTGTTTCTCTCACCAATATACTGAAAAGTATCCATGCTGATAACGTCAATAACGGGACAAACGACCCTAGTTGGGTCTTCGGCAACTCTTTCCAATAGAGGTTCAAGCCAATCGGCATTGCATTCGCAATGAGAATCCAGAAATGTGAGGACATTGGCCGTCGCTGCATCTGCACCTCGTACCCTCGACCTCATGAGACCTTCTCTCTTTTCATTTCTGATGACCCGAACTTTGTGTATCTTTGACAATTCCTCTCCATCTTCAGCTATAAAAATTTTACAATTATTTGTCAAGAAAAAAAAAATATTATAAAATTAACTTTTCTGAATTTAATCTTAAATTAAAATTTTTAATTCTGCTATTTTTCTTTTTAAGATTATTTATTAAAATTGAAAAAGTGACAATTTCAAAAGAAATATGAAATAAAGGGACAGTAAAAATCAAGTGAAATGTAAATCATCGAATAAGTTAATAGAAAAAGTTTTTTAAGGACATTTGAAAATTTTTTATTTGCGTTTTCATCATAGATAAAGCTAATATAGAGAATTTTATTGAGAGAAGCACTTACGGTGATCGCTAAAGTCATCCACTAAGATGATCTCTTTTATGAGGTGCTCAGGACTTCTATTTAGAACGCTATAAAAAATATGTATTTCATTTCAATTAAATTTTAAAACTTTAAAAAAAAAATGTTAATTGTTTTTTTTTAAACTTTTTATTGAAATTCTAAAATAAAATGTTTCAAAATTAAGCAAAAATAAAATATAAAAAATTAACTGAATTAAAAAAAAACTGAATATTTCAAAAAAATTTTAATTAATAATATTATTATAATAAAATTTTTTATTTAATTAAACTTTAAAAAATTTACTGTATTTTAATAAAAAGTCTTAAATGTTTTGATTGCATTTTTAAAAATATTTCAAGTATTTTATTACCTCTAAAATTAATAATAAAAAAAAATGAAGTATGCGGAATTTCGAAGCATTCCTTCTTATAGCGTGAAAACTCGATAATTTAAACATTCCAAAAATTATGTAAATTTTCTTTTAAAGTGTTTGTTATCCGGAAAAAATTTCATAATTAGTTTCGCACTTTAAAGAAATGACGCCAATAAATTTTATATCTCATCGCGTAGAGGCTCTCACTGAAGAAGTTAATGCAAAATTGACGATAAAAAAAAATCCACAATAAATCATTCGAAAAAGAATTTACACACTGATTGCCAATATTAATAATAAGATAAAATTCAATTTTATCATTACAAAATTTTATTATATTAGTATTTTTTATTATTAATATAATATTATTAATTATTAAAAATTAATCGAATACCTATTATTTTTATTAAACACATTTTGAATACTAAATTAATGCTTTACAATTTTAAGAAATAAAACATTTACAGTTACCTTTGTAAATTTATAAATAAATAGGTAAATAATTAAAAAAGAATTTTTAAAAGAATTATATTAAAAGAGAATTGTTAAAAGTATGTTTTTTATTGACTCGTATTTTATTTTTTTTATAAAATTAAAAATTTTAAAAATTATAGAATTTAAAAAAATGTAATTCAAATTTTTTTCATACAAATAGAATATGCATTGGAATTTAATTTTATTACTGTTAATAACTACATGGAGAGAAAATAAATATTAAATTTTGTAAAAGTATTTTACAATTTGGGTAGAAAATGCGACAAAGCAAAATTTTGATACTTATTATTATTATTATTATTATTATTATTATTATTATTATTATTATTATTATTATTATTATTATTATTATTATTATTATTATTATTATTATTATTATTATTATTATTATTATTATTATTATTATTATTATTATTATTATTATTATTATTATTATTATTATTATTATTATTATTATTATTATTATTAATATAAAAATTTCGCTTTCTCGTATTTTCTCCCTAAATTGAAAAATACTTTTACAAAATTTAATATTTATTTCCCCTCCATGCATAATGAATTGAACAATTAAAAAATTTTAATTTCTATAAAGTAAATTCTTTCTTAAATTCCCTATTTATTAAAAATAATTTTAGATAATTTTATTAATTAAAATAATTAAATTTTTCGACACTGAACAAACAATTTTAACATTTTTTAATACAGCAAAAATTGAAAATAATTTTTCTGTTATAATCTAACCTTTTACAGTCAAAATTTTAAATATGTAAATTAATAAATTCTTTTCAAAGTTGACAATAAATTAATTTTTGAAATCTTATTTTTCATAGAGTTGGTCTTAGTATATAATAAGCTAAGAAAATAATAAATAAAATTGTATAAATAAAAAGCAATACATTTTTTTAAATTAATAAATATTTCTTTATGTTATTAATAATAAAAATTTGTAATTAATTATTTAAAAAAAATAATTATGATATATAATACAATCTATAAAAACTTAACGAAAAACAAAAGACTATAATTTCAAATGTGGACAGAAAGAAAGAATACCATGATTGTTATAATTATATAGTTAATATTAAAAATTAATAATAAACAATTATAATTGTTTATTATTAATTTTTAATCAATAATTTTTAATCATTTATCAATAATTATTGATAAATTGTAATGAATACTTCTGCTTTTGTGATATTATAATTACAATTTTTATCCAATTATATTAAAAAATGGAATTTTGTTTTTCATTTGAAAAGAATAATACTTAACGTTGTAATAAAATTCCAGAATGAAATTGAAAATTTGTTTAATGAAAACTAAAAGCGAATATGACAGGAGGATAGTCCATAACATAAATTTCAAACGCATAGAAATTATTGTAATAACTAAATTTTGGTGGATATTCAGATAATTCTCAATCTGAATAATTTATTCTCTATTCCACAGAACATTATAATTAAAACCAATTTCAATAAATTAACGAATTGTTTTAAGAAAATGTTTTACATTTATTTTAGTGGAAATTAAATTCTTTAATATCAGAACTGCCAAATATTTATAAATTTTTTGATATTGGAATGGTTTACTATTAAAATTGTTTAATATTAGAATTGATAAATATTAAAATAGATCAATATTAAAATAATTTAATAATTAAATTGTTTAATTCAAAAATTGTTTAACATTAGAAGCATTTATTATTTAAATTGTTTAATTAAAAAATAGTTTAAAATTCAGGGTTACTACAATTTATTTATTAGAATTTAAGTATTATTTTCAATACATTTTTAACTTAAATTCTTTAAAGAATTAAATTATTTTCAAAAATTTTAATAAAATTCATTGCGTAACAATTCAATTTTTTTCAAAATAATTTTAATAAAATTCTTCGCAGAAATCCAATTAAGTTTTAAAATTTTTAAATTTATAAATAATAAAATTTTTCTCCGAAATTTAATTATTTTCAAAACTTTAAATAAAATTCTTGGCAGAATTTCAATTAGTTTTAATACAATTTTCATCAAATTTCTCGAAAAATGCAATCATTCTTGAAAATTTTAATTAAAATTTGTCAAGAGAATTCAATTATTTAAAAATTTTTTTGATAAAATTCTTTATGAAATTTCAATTTTAAGAAGCATTTAATTGTTTAATAAATTATTTATTTTTATAGTTAAATAATTGAATTTTCGTAGAATTTTCTAATAAATATTGATTTAAAAATGAATTTTAAATTAAAATCTTTAAAAATTTGAACTTTTCATATAAATTTTTCTCAATATGTTTAATGGATTTTTTTTTCATTATTTGAAGATTTTAATTTCTAAGAATGTCAGAATAATCGAAATTTCGTAAAATTAAATTGTAAACAAAAGAATTTAAAAATTCACAAAGAACTTTTTTAAAAATTATTTTTAAAAAATTGACTTAAAGAAGAATTTTAGTTAAAAATTCTAGAAATGAATAATCGCGCAATGATGAAAATAATTTTTGAAGAAGTTACAGTAACAAAGTAGCAAGTTTTAATTATTATAATTATTATATATTTATTTATACATTTTAATTATTATAATTATTATATATCTTCATGTTTTATAATAATATTCTTATATGTTATTGAATTTCAAATTTTTTAATATCTTAATTTCTATATAAAAAAATAATGATTAAATATTTATTTAAAAATAAAGTTTTATTGATGTTTTCGAATAATTTTCGTTTTAAAACCTGGAAAAATTCCGTTTTTTAAACTGGAAAACCTGGAAAAGTCAGGGAATTTGAAAAGAGCAAAAGCGTGGCAACACTGATATTAAAAGTGTTTATTATAAAAATTGTTTAATATTAGAATTGTTTAATATTATAAAATTTTTTGATGTTATGTTTAATTCAAAAATGGTTTGATATTATAAAAGCGTTTACTATTAAAATTGTTTAATATTAAAATTTTTTATTAAAAGTAAGAAAAATTCTAAACACATTTATTAAAATTCTGAAAAATTATTGAACAGCTAGAAAAATGTAGAGAATAATAAATTTCTTGCTGCGAAATAAATAGTAAATTATAAAAAAATTATCTTTGTGACCCATGATACTAAATATGGGCACCGATGGAAAAAAATTGATCTTCGATTATTTCTTCGATATTTGGACTATCCTGTAAATTCTGATATTCCATTTGAAATGTACGTTTCTCTTATGCAGAAGGGGGAGAAAAAAACCTCCTCTTGCGTTATGCAAATGTGCATTCACATATTCTAACTGAAAAGCCAAATCAATAACTTAATGCTTCAAAATAAATAAAATACCAATATGTTTTTTTTCTCTTACTTTCACATATATATTAAAAATTTCAATATTGATTCCGTAATTTCTATAATTTTTAAAAAACTTTCTTCTTTAAACACTTTCCTCTTCTTTTTCCTAATTTCTCGACAAAAAGTATAAGAGGCTATTTATTTTGATGAAAAAAAAAATTGAAATTTTCATGATCCTATTTTCATAAGACTTTTATTGGATTTTTCATTTTATAGCTCAATTCTTTCTTACTGGATTTATTTTATTACAACATTTTTCATTCTATTTTGTGTCATAAAAATACTTTACAAAAACATTTTTCTAGTTTGACATAAAAAAAGGGGGTGAAAAAAAATGTATATCGTAAAATAAATATAGAAAGAAAGCTAATTGCACTTAAAGGGATATTTTACATTTTGTTGAAAGTGAAAATTATTTTTTAGTAGAATACGGAATTTTTTTAAATTATTTTTTGCAACTGTTGATTAATATATATATATTTTTTTGAATTGGGTTATTATTTACCTGACAACAGTTCTTAAAAGTGTCGAACGAGCCTCATTGTGAAACGTGATAATCACCGAAGTGGACGGAAGATCCTGTTTCCATTGTTTTATTCGACACCTGAAACATAAATATTAACAAATTATTTAAAATTTCACGCTTTCAGTGAATTTAATTAAATTCAACGATTTTATTTAAAAAAAAAAATACAACTTTGAAAGATTTTATATTTAAACTAATATTATTATATACATAGTTGAAATATAAAACTTAAAAATAGTTTCTTTTTTCAAAACTTAGTCTAATTTTTAATAATTAATAAAGTAAGGGCAAAAAAAAGTATGAATAAGCTTTTGAAAGTTTTTTTTTTTTATTCCTAATTTTGTGATTCTATAGGTATAGCTTCATCTGTAACGTATAACGATAAATTTCCAGGTGCACTCAATTTTAATTATAAGAGATCAAAGTGTAAAGTTTCTTCTTCAAGATGAAGTTGCCTTAAGTAAAGAACACTCTTTGAGTTGACGCAAAAATCCCCAAGTATCTTTAGAATATTCCTAATGAAGTAAAATACAAACATCAATGAGAAAACAAAATAATAATTTTATCATACAATAATAATTTACAAGGTCTTCGCTTAATTAATTTAAATATTTTTTTAAAAAGAAAAAAGGAAATAAAATTTTCATTTATTTTTTCTACTTTTCCATAAAATACGATTTAAAAACAATATTTAAAAAGAAGCTAGATTCATTAAAAAATTATGAATCCATTTTGCAAGAAGGTAAATTTTATTTATAAATAAAGTAAATAAATAAAAAAAAAATAACCGAAAATGATATACAAAAAATTTAACAAATAAATATGTCGCGTATAAAAATGAAAATTATTTTTCAATAATCCTGCACACACAGAGGAAAATTACGTTTATTTTTCATTTTCAATGCTTTTGTAATCCGAGGGACGTTATGTTGAAAAAAAAGTGCGGCTTAAAACAGAATTCTTTATTTTATCTCTATTTATTCCAATTTATACTGAATTTAAAATCCATTATTTCTTCTTTCGAGAGTTCCTCTTGAAAAAGTCAATTCTAAACAATGTGACTGTTTTCTTCAATTTTTGAAAAGCACTTTAAGAATTATTGGATTTTGAGATTACGTGAAAAGCGAGAGGGTGAGAGAATGCCCTTAACATGGAAAATTGGAGTGAAAAGAGAAAAGAAATACATTTATAGTTACTGAGAATAACGGCAATAAAAAAAAATAACTACTTTCAATTTCGTCGATTTTCTCCCATTGAATTTCAATCTACATTGAAAATTTATGTTATTATTTTTTATTTTAAATATTTATTGCTTTTTTTTCGTAAATATTCCCATTTATTCAATTTTTTTTTATTTTCTTCATTTTTTATGTTTTTATTACTTTTGTACTTTCTATTTTTTATTATATTTTATTTTTATTCATTTTAATGTTTATTTAATTATTTTTTTATAGTTTACTATTTATTTATTTATAAACGGAACTATATTGTTAATTAACTGAAACAGGGTATTTTTGTTTGCCTCATAAAAACTATGAAATTATCACGAAATTCTAAAATAAAACCTTACATTTTTTCTATATTTGACAATAATTTTTTTTAAATAACTTAATTCTTGAAAAACAATCATAAAATTATTACTTATAGATTATTTAATGAATAATTTTACTTAAAGATTTAAAAATTAATTGATTTTAAATTTTTATAAATAAATTAATTTCAAAAGATTTCAATTTGAAATTTTAGAAAATTTCAATTTTAAATGAATTTCATTAGAAATTTTAAAGAACTTAGTTATCTGAAAAATTTTAATAATTTAAATTCTTCTGAAATTAATTGAATTTTTTGATATATATTTAATATTATTTCAAAACATTTAAAGCAGTTCTTCGAAAGAATTCAATTATCCTGATAATTATAAAAATTCGTCGCAGAAATTCAATTATTTTCATTAATAACAAAAATCCATTAGAAGAATTCAATTATTTTCAAAAGTAATAATATTCTTTGCAGAAAATCAATTAGTTTCAAAATTATTAGAAATCTTTGCAAAAAATCAATTATTTTCGAAATTTTAAAAAAAAAATGTTCACCAAGATTTCAATTATTTTCATAAAGAGGAACATTCTTCGCTGAAATTCAATTATTTCCAAAAATTTAAATAAAATTCTTAGCAAAATTTCAATTATTTTCAAAAATTTTCTTCAATTCAATGAATTATTGCAATATTAACAATTATTTTTATAAAATTTTCCGAAAGAATTCAATTATTTAAAAAAAATTTTTATAAAATTCTACGTAAATTATTTAAAATAGAATTTACGTAAATTTTTTTTCGAAAAATATCAAATTCAAAAATTCTTAAAATATTAAAATTTTTTTTATAAAATTCTTCATAATAATTTAATTATTTTTATAATATAATAAAACTCATAACAGAATATCAATTATTTTCAAAATTGTTTAAAAAAATTTTCGCAAAGATTCCAATATTATCTTCATAAAGAGGAAAATTCTTCGCCGAAATTCAATTATTTTCAAAAATTTCAATAAAATTCTTCGTAAAATTTCAATTATTTAAAAAAATTTTCTTCAATTCAATGATTTTCAATATTAATTACTATTTTAATAATATATAAAATTTTCCAAAAGAATTCAATTATTTAAAAAATATTTTGATAAAATTCTACGCAAATTATTTAAAATCGAATTTTTTAAAATTTTTTCGAAAAATATCAATTTAAAAATTCTTAAAATATTCAATTTTTTTTATAAAATTCTTCACAATAGTTTAATTATATTCATAAATAATAAAACTCATCGCAGAATTTCAATTACTTTTAATAAAGTTTTAATTGAATTTCTCGAATAATCCAATTATTCTTAAAAAGTTTATTAAAATTTAACGAAAGAATTAAATTATTTAAAAATTTGTTGATAAATTTAATTATAAGAATTTTAAGAAATATTCAATTATTCAATAAATTATTTATTTTCAGTTTAAATAATTGAATTCTAGTAGAATTTTTTAATAAAAATTGATTTAAAAATTATTTTCAGTTAATGTTTCAGATAATAATTGAAAATTAGAAGCATTATAGAATGAATAATTATAGAAATAATTGAATTTTGCAAAAGTTACAATTTAAAATTTTTGAAAGTCTAAATTTTTTATATACTTTTAATGAAAAATTTATAGAACTAATGTTTTTGTAAAGTTTAATTGAAATTATTTGAAGTTTTAATTTTCAAATATATGTAGGTACGTATATTTAATTGAAAAATTTCTAAATAATCAAAATTTCGTAAAATTGAATTGTAAACAAATGTATTTGAAAATTCTCAGAGAATTATGTCAAAAATTATTAAAAATAATTAAATTAAAGAAAAATTAAAGTTGAAAGTTCTAGAAAATTATACCTAATTGAAAATATAGAAACGATGAAAAATAATTTTTCAGAAATTACAGCAACAACATTCTTATAAGGCATTCAATTTTAAATGATTAGAATTTGAAATTTTTCAAAATCAAAAATAATAATATTTAGATATTTATTTTAAATAAAACATGTTTTTGAATAATTTTACAATTATAGAAATTCGTAAATAAATGTAATAAAAAACATTTTTTTTTTAGTATCTAATAATTTTTAGAGGGAATATCGCAGAATATTCTTTAATATTCGTTAATTTTACTTGATAGGGCCAGGGAAAATTAAATTTTTGTGGCAACCGTGTGTAACTCATTATAAACCACTTAATAAAATTTAATTTTTAATCTAATTTTTCTCACGTTTAATGTATATAATTACAAATTTTACTTAAAGTAATGTAATTGTCATCCAGACATTGCATTTTGTATTAAAAATAGTGTGAGATGGTCGCGTGATTTTTTTTTTACTGATTGTACAAACCTTAGGACCAGGGGTTCGATTCTTCACGACTTACAATTTTTTTTTTTTTGAAATTCTGTTCCATCACTCTTGTATTTTTTTTATTTTACCCTCTACTCAATCTTTACTCATCCTACCATTATTTTCGATCCCAATTAAATTACTGACACCTCTTTATTGGAAACGAAAAAAAAAAATTTCTTCGTGTGACTAAATTAAAAGTACTTCGATCACTAGAATCAGATGGAAAAATACAAATAGAAAATCAAATAACAAGAAATTTTTTTTTTGTAAATCAAAAAGAGACGAAAGTTGCTTTTCCTATAAAGATTAAAAATGTACTCGTTTGGATTACATGGGAGCTTTTTTTCACCTTGTAAAATGTAATCGTCAATATACGCATACACGTGTGCTTTGGCACCTATTCACGTGGAATTGGGGAGAAAGAGAGTGAGAGAGAGAGAGAGAGAGAGACAGGGGAAAGGGAGGGATGGGATTTGAAAATGTTCACGTAGACGACCTTCCGCGTTCAGTTACGTTATCCACTTTAGTGCCGGTTTCAAACCAAATTGAAGTTTTGCATTACACTAGCAGGATCATCCGTCTGGTACAGTTCTGGGTTCACTGATTCACATGAAGGTACCTTTCTCTCTCTCTCTCTCACTCTTTCTCTCTGCACAATTTTGGCACCAGTTTCTCTATTTTATATATATATAGTTCATATACATATATATTTGTACGAGTGTGCCAGTAGATTTCGCAAAATATCAAAGTAATTTCACATCAGTCGAGAGAAGTGCAGTATACATATAATAAAGTTGCGATATAGTAATCTTCTAAACTTGAAAGGTCGAGTACACATAAAATTGCTTTAATCTATCCCTTTACAGTACAAATGGAGCTGTGAAAATAAATCATTTCATTTTTTTATTAAAACTTTCTCATGAAAATTATTTTCCTTTTTTTTTCTATCAGATATTTTGAAAAGTATCTAAAATAATAACTTCTATCTTTAAAACTTTTTTTAATTACAATTTTAAGATCAAGAATAATTTTTCTATACATACGTATTTAAAACATTAATTTTAAGAATTGTCTGACTTTAAGTCTACCTTTACTACTAATTTAAATAATTATATTCAAAATTATGTGAAACGTCTGATTCAAGGTTTTAAGGTTTTTTTT